ATATTGCTGGAATATTGCTAAAAGCGGCGTAAAACCTCACTCACTCACTTAATGTTCTATACTTTTCACACTTTTTTTCTTCAAGCTCCCCGTCCCACCATGGCGGGTGTTGGTCAATAACTTGTGAAGGCTGCTTGTACAGTCTTCTTGCCTGGACTGCAGCTAGTTGGTTCAGATTAAGGATGTATAATGCTGCCTGGTTCATATCAGTTCCTATGCATCTATACATATATCAGTCACATTGGTACATATTGACTGGAATTTATACATGAAAGTCTGCGATTCACTCTCTTCCCACTTAATTATTTCTAACTTCAGTGTTAGTATTCTTATAGATGGATCGATAGATGGATGAATTCTGAATTACAGTTCAGTGGAAAATAATTTGATTCATTCCGGAAACTTGTGAGTGAAGAAAAGCTGTTGAATCGCTCATAAAATCCACCATACTGTGGCCATGATGTATATAGCAAGTGAGCTGACCCTGCATATCATACAATGGACCAGTTAACACATGGGTACCCAACATCCGGTATACTTCACCAAGCTTAATACCATAGCTCCCGACATCAGATCTGACCACACAGCACGTCAGTAGGTTTCATCACGTCTAAAATACACCAAGAAAGCTGCGATTGGCGTCCTATTTATGTATATTATCGACATCAACACTCACTTCAATGCAGCAGTGAATGTTCGTACAAATCTACGTGAAGTCAAGGGAGCAGTTAATGATACCACAAATTAAATTGATTGATTTTTAAACATCACCAATATTATGACATAAAAAATAATAATAATTGAAAAAATCGAATTAGGCTAGGGATGTCATAAAATACATGTTTAGATATCTCAAAATATATTTTTAGATATGAAAACTACATTTTGTGATCAACGTATGTACCTATACTGACTAATATGGAGATGTTTCAACGTTTCCTTAACATTGCATCACATGATTGTAGCGGATTGCACAACATCGCGGAAATCGCCTAACTTATCTGGGTTGCGTTTTGACGACTGGCTTCTACCCGCGAACTGTTCCACTGTAGTCAAAACGCAACTAGCACGTTGCATTGACAACCGCCCTCAGATGCATTCGTCACCACTCGCCTCTTTCCGTAATCTGCTATTCGGCTTGTGCTGGAATAACACGAGTTGGTCACGAATGCCTCTGATGATGGAACATTCTGGCACACTAGTGATAGTGATAGTGATAGTGATAGTGTGTGTGTGTGTGTGTGTGGGTGTGCTTCCACGTATCATCCATATGGTTATCGCAGTTGTCTAAACCATCCCAGTTCGCTGTGCAGCGTTGCGTCACTTATGCAGACAGAACCTATGATCGTAGGTTCGAATCCCAGATTCGCTCTAATATTGTTTCTTGGTTTGTCAGCACCATTCACTTGAGCTTGGGTTGCATCAAAGAGGTAAACGTCAAAGTCCTGCATCACTTCGGGCTTACATGCTCCACAAACTGTGACGCCGTGATAAAGAACTGTTTAATGATTCTGAAGTACCATGTGTACTCTATCTCCATTCTATTATGATAAGGTGCGGTCGGGTAGCCTAGTGGTTAAGCGTTCGCTTGTCACACCGAAGAACCGGTGTTGATGCCCGACATGGGTACAATGTGTGAAGCCCATTTCTGGTGTCCCTCGCTGTGATATTGCCGGAATATTGCTAAAAGCGGCGTAAAACCATAATCACTCACTATTCTGATAAGTAATCTGGACCTCTTCGCCACCACACCTTCGTTTGGGGTCTTCAGAATCCAGTCCAAATGACACAACTCTAACAGAGCACCCAAATGAATTCATACTGTTCTTCCGTGACAGAATACATCTGGATGTGTTCAAACAGGCGTTAAGCCTAATTTTCCCAACATAGTTAACAAAGATCGCCTAGAACACGGTTTCCAAGAACGTTAAGGCGCCTCGCTCGTACCGTAACACTGTTGTCCGTCGATACCGTTCACGTGACTTCGTTATGCTGATTAGGCACAAACATGAGGGTATATAAAGTAAATCTTCGCCGTCTGAGTCACAGTCGCTTTGAACCAGGGAGACGCAGAAGCTTGTAGGTGACCCAGTCCTTGCTGTCGGCGAGGTGGGACGCCATGGCGAGCTGATGTTGTCTTCGTGGGGAGGGTGACAGGACGCCGCTTACTTCGAATTACCAACAATGACCGACACAGCCGTGAGATAACAGTATGGGCCCGGGGCGCGTTCGTGTGCCTCGGGCCCAGGGGCTGAGCCGCATACCTACCGGACGGAGGGCGGGTCGGTAACCCTGTTACCGATGTAGACAGATCAAGTGAATTCAGCTCGGTCCTTGGGGTGACGTGCCCGATAAAGCGGCCTCGCAATCGCGCCTTCGGGTGTGCTATGAGCGTCGGGTACTGATCTCTGGGGACCCCCAGGGGGACAGAGTCTGTGGGTGTTCTCAGATGGTGTCGGCACCCCAGCGCTGTGTTCCTGGGGGATAGTTTTCGACGGTGGAGCGTGATGCCACGCCCAGTGATCCGACCAGCCAGCCGGCTGTTGTTGCAGTGATATACTTGTATGTACCTCAATGTCTACCTGACACGGGTTTAACCTCCACGAGTCTAAGTTGTACAGGTAATAATGTTGATATGGTATGTAGAATTGACATATTGTGTGTGCATGTAAGGAATAATGTTGGCTGGACATTGTTAATGGTATGTGTGGGATGAGTCTACAAGGTGAGAAAGTGAATGATGTCACGGGCGGATACAGCTTTTTTGAAAAGGGGGGTGCACAATTAAGATCTATTTATTGTCTTTGGTGGTAATTTATGCAGAAATAAAGATTTTTTTCGAAATAAAAGACACCCCCCCCCCCCCCCCCCCCTCTCTCTGTATCCGCCCATGGATGTTTTGCACCGTATTCAGCATCGGTTGATGAATACCGATCAACGCTTTGGCGTGTGTGAGAGTGTGTGCGTGAGTGCGTGTAGGTGTGCCTCTGTGTGTTGTTGGGTGGGGGGTAGCGTGGCTGTTTGTAAGCGTGCGTGTGTGTGGTGGGGTTGGATTGGGTGGTGTGTGTGTGCGTGTGTGCGTGCGCGTGTATAAGTGTGTGTGTAGAGCTATAGCGCAGAGGTAGCAAAAAGGCGACGACGTATTCAGGTGAGATAGGAGGCTTCAACAGCCAGCTAATAATGGTTTCCCATTTTGAGTATTCACTTGGTGAATGGAATCTTGCGCATTTTAAATGGATGTAATATTGCAGGGCGCCAAACGCCGTGCCTTATTCGTTTTTGGTTTGAGGACGGTACATGGGGATGAGTTGAAAAGTTGTAAACACAATTTTAAAAGAAAAGGCGTCTTTGTCTCCATATTTGTTTGTGTGTTTGTTGTTTTACGCCGCACTCAGCTATATTCCAGCTATATGACGGCGGTCTGTAAATAATCGAGTCTGGACCAGACAATCCAGTGATTGACATCATAAGCATCGACCTACACAACTGGGATTCGATGACACGCATCAACCAAGTCAGCGAGCCTGACCACCCGATCCCGTTAGTCGCCTCTTACGACAATGTCTCGCATATGAATAATGATATGCGTACAAACAAAATACGTAAATATTTATGATAATATTTTTTATAACATTCCTATCCTATCTGGTTACTATAAACTATTACACTAAACATGTTTGTGTTAATCGGCACAATCATAAGAGAGGGCACGCACTCTGTGCTAGACTGGTTTACCTGCCCAAGAACGATTGCGCTCCTCGACTGCAGCCGCTAGGATGCGAAAGGCAGGGTTCCAGTCTAGTTTTATCATATCTGTTACCCCATAGACGACTGGGCCCCCCGTGCCCCCTGCGCTTTATGACAGTACAGATACTTGCATCAATAGGTTGGTATGTTACAAAATATCTCTGCGCAGTGTTGATCCTCTGGATCAAAGTTACCGTATATTTATTATTTGACAAGGTACAGTATGATACAGTGAACAATGAAACACACAGATAAAATGGAGCATTATGAAAAGATTATTTAAATAATAATATGGTAATAAATTATACAGAAAAAGGTAAACAATGCAAACAAAATGAATGGCTCTCTTTCACAAAACATTGGCATGCAAATTGTAAAAAAGGCGCATATTTTTTTAAGTGACTAAAATATATACTTTTCGGAATATCGGAGTTTGGGTTTCATCATTTATCTTCCCTAAAATATACTAAGAAAGCAGCGATTAGCATCCCGATTATTCAAATGCATCTAACTCAACACTCAATTCAGTGCAGCAGTGAATATTCGTTAAAATCGACCTGAAGTCAAAGGGAACAGTTATTGTGAAAAGGGTAATTAATCACATTCAATTTACTGATATCTAAAATTGAATAAATGACAAATTCGATTTAATGATAAAAAAACCCAACATTTTAGATATCACAGATTTATATGATATATAAAATTCCAAATTTGTGATATCAATAATTATTTTATATCATAAATTCGATTTCGTGAAATCAATAAATTATTTTGTGATATCAATATATTTATTATTTATATAATAAAATCAGGAATATATGATAAAACGGCTCCTCATATATATATGCAACACAGATTATTAATAAAACGAATTAATCATGTGGAGATCTCCATCGAAATGAGATCATGTTAATATGTTGCTGTTATTGCAAATGTAAGGGTCTTTAAAAAGTATTGTTTAATATTTTCTCATGACTATAAAATTCATTGCAGAAAGTCCAAGGTTCGGTACAAGATTGAGTGCTAATAACATGCTGTATTGTGCAACTGATGACTGAAGGCTATAACATTTTAAGATTCAATACTTTAGGGCCACACAGAATATCCCGTCCTGACAACGGCGTATTATACTAAAATCATGCTCAGTCACACTGTGATAAATGGGACTATTCGACACAACACGCATCTTTAAATAACCAACAAGAAGGTCTCCATTCGATTTGTCCCGGAACAACGCTGAGTTAACTCCCTTAGTAACTCTTGTGTGTACAGAAGTGAAGAAAAGCCCTATTTCCGGTTGTTAATGTTTTCATAGACGCACGTTTTAAGTTTTACAAAGTCCACCACGATGCCCCTTGGAAACGGTTGGTTGTTTCCAAGTAAACCCACTTTTACTTGGAATGTTTCCAGCAGGTTTACAGTTGCGATGGTTGGAACGTTGAGCAAATTTTGGTTGGGTACGACTTTCTTTAATTCTGTTGGCTTGTGTCATGTCAAACACGTGTGGACTTCGAACATGTTCTACTTGTCAAGACAGTACGGCATTGCTCCACTTTACCATTGTGACACGTGGCGTGCCTTACCAACACATAAGACGTAGTTGTTTTAACCCCACATGAGTCATATCACTCAACAAACTAAGTCCTATTTACTCTTTTGCACGTGTTTAGGCTTGTCCTGGTTTTGTAAACATGACATGGTCATGACCTGACTAGATTTCGTTGATTGTGCTTGTGAGGCACTGACAAATACTAGTTATCCCTGTTCAGATACCAATTAGATGAACTAACAGTAATTTGGTTTTAAGATTTCAATTTATTATTTATAACATTCAACTGCTAACTCCAAATTTGATCAGTTCAGGCAATTTTGGTCTAACATTTAATAAGATTATGCTTACAATAAGGAGAGTATCTCAGTATACACATATGATTATTAGTCTTAAAAAATTATGCAGCATTAAACAGGAGCACCAAATTCTTCCTTAAAACATTATGAAGGCGTGAATCGTAGCTGTGCCATTGCGACCAGTAAACTGTTGATGTCAGATAGTTAAAGGAGAGCAGTACATGATTTCACGTCTACCCAAGTCAGTGCATTCTAGATTAACTTTTCTTTCTCTTGTTGGGGCTGAAACACACTAAATAGTTAAAATATTGACCAGGCTCGCATACTTGGTTGATGCATGTCATCGATCCCAAATGCGTGGATCGATGCTCATGATATTAATCACTGTATTGTCTGGTCCAGACTCTGTTATATACAGACCGTCATCATATAGCTGGAATATTGCTGAGTGCGGCGTTAAACAACAAACCAACTAACCAACTAACCAACCAACCTTATAAAAAGTTCTGACATTTAAAAATCTTGTAAGTATAATGACATCAGTTTTAAATCCTGTCTGTCAATAATATAGTACTAAATACTGAGCATATAGTTGGTTCGATCAGTGCAAAGAACCCTTTATGAAGAACCGGTACACTGTACCAAATTCTTGACAAGAAATATAAAGGTCTTGTAATTAAAGTAATTATCAATCTTATAGTGCATTCTTATATGCTTCGGTAAAAGATCAAAGGTACCGACAGTACTATATCCTGTGATAAAGTAAACGTTTTGAGTTATGGAGTTGTTCAAATTACCTCCCCTGTTATCTAATGTAACATTGTTCTTTCATTATTGTCAAGCAAGATGGCGATTCAACATCAGTTATTGGTGAAATAGTATTTTTAATTATGTCACATATTTTGATATTATTACCTGGGAAAAATATGGCAAGATGATATCAACTATCTCTCATACTTCAAGGGCGGCCGGGTAGCCTAGTGGTTAAAGCGTTCGCTCGTCATGCCAAAAACCCGGGTTCAATTCCCGACATGGGTACAATGTGTGAAGCCCATTTCTGGTGTCACCCGCTGTGATATTGCTGGAATATTGCTAAAAGCGGCGTAAAACCATACTCACTCACTCAAGGTTTTCCCCAACATATTCAAACCACTGTGTCTGTGCCACAGTAGACACAAAGATGCCTGAGGGGGCATTGGTGCCCTAGGAATTATGTCTGTCTCTGGACACCATAATCATGATAATGGGCATTCCTTGAACATGTTGAAGAGTTATGTAACCATGGGGTGGACCCATTTTCGTCTTTTATTCACTGAAATGGTTACTTGAACATACATGTACTTTTGTGAGTAAGTGATGTGCCAGAATTGCAAAGGCTACAGTTGCATGTATGGTTGGCAAGATAAGCCAGTGATATCAGTCCATTGTTCTGGACATTTATCAGTTCAAAATCATTCTTGGAGGTTATGAAATATTCTGGTGTTGCAATACATTTTTCCAGATATATGCAAATTAAACACAACAAAAAATCTTATTTCATCACAATGATTTATTTCTACAATGTTGAGATATTAATGACCAGTTACACATTGGTTATTTAGACCAAGCACATTGAGTGAGAACCGTGTGATTAGACAGTCTTACTTTGTCTGTTTCTTTTAGATGTTCTAGCTTTGTGTCATTGTGTTCTTACAGAATGGTTGAATACACTCAATGTGCACAACAGGACACAACTGTATGATGCCATAGAGAACCGTCCAAAAGAACAAGGCCTAGTTACAGTTACTAATCACCACAGCTGTCTGGACGACCCTATTCTGTGGGGTAAGTTTCCCCAGAGCCCTAGTCCACTTACAACGTAGTATGATACCACCATCAATATCAACTGTGCCTACTTATCACCAATACCACTATGCCCACTTATCAACTATTACACTATCCCACTTATCACCCATACCACTATGCCCACTTATCACCCATACCACTATGCCCACTTATCACCCATACCACTATGCCCACTTATCACCCATACCACTATGCCCACTTATCAACTATTCCACTATTTCCACTTATCACCCATGTTACCAGGCCAACTTATCAACTATTCCACTTTGCCATCTTATCAACTATTCCACTTTGCCCATTTATCAACTATTCCACTATGCCAACTTATCGCCCATACCACTATGCCCACTTATCAACTGTTACACTATCCCACTTATCAACTATTCCACAATTCCCACTTATCCCCATACCACTATGCTCACTTATCAACTATTCCACTATTTCAACTTATTACCCATATTACCAGGCCAACTTATCAACTATTCCACTTTGTCCACTTATCAACTATTCCACTATTCCCACTTATCACCAATATTACCATGATTACCATGCCAACTTATCAACTATTCCACTATTCCCATTTATCACCCATATTACCATGATTACCATGCCAACTTATCAACTATTCCACTATTTCAACTTATTACCCATATTACCAGGCCAACTTATCAACTATTCCACTTTGCCCACTTATCAACTATTCCACTATTCCCACTTATCACCAATATTACCATGATTACCATGCCAACTTATCAACTATTCCACTTTTCCCACTTATCACCCATATTACCATGATTACCATGCCAACTTATCAACTATTCCACTATGCCCACTTACCACCCATACTACCAGGCCAACTTATCAACTATTCCATTACGCCCACTTTTTACACATGCTATTATGCCTACTTTTTACACATGCCACTGTGCCCACTTACCCCCTGTGCCGCTATTTCCCACTATTCTCACTTAAAACACACGCCACTACACCCCAAAATAACCCATTGTGTCTGTTTCAGGAATGCTAAAGATTCGGTATGTGATGGACCAGAGTACGTTACGCTGGACATTAGCGGCTGAAGATGTTTGCTTCACCAAGTACTGGCATGCGCTGTTCTTCAGTCTGGGTAAAACTGTGCCGGTCGTGAGGGGCGCAGGGGTGTATCAGCGCAGTGTCGATTACATGCTGGAAAAGTTGCACCTGGGAGAGTGGGTACACATGTTCCCGGAAGGTGGGTGCTGTCAGTCAGAGCTTGGGGTGTAATGGATTCTTTGTTCTGAGATGATAGATGCCATCCTGTTTAGGTTGCAGGGCAGAATTTGTCCCCAGTAACTCATGACTGGAATGAAGGTTGTATGTTTACAATGTGTCACCTGATTTATATGCCAGTTACATGGATCAGTTGTTTTACTGTCAGCCAATGGTTTGCCTGGCCTGGATTAAGCTTTTGGCTGTCATGATATTTTTGATTGGTTGGTTTGTTGTTTTACGCTGCGCTCCGCAATATTCAAGCAATATGACGGTGGTCTGTAAATAATCGAGTCTGGACAAGACAATCCAGTGATCGATATCATGAGCATCGATCCACGCAATTTGAATAAATGACATGCTTCAACCAAGCCAGCGAGCCTGACCACCAGATCCCGTTCATCGGCTTTTACAACAAGCATAGTCGTGTTTCACGGCACTGAAGATCTATTCTACCCCGGATCTTCTAAGGTCTGATATATTTTAAATAATGCTGGCTGGCATGACACATTTCATCCTCCTGAGGCAAGGGAGTCACAAAAATCCTCTGCTACAGAGATGCCATCTTGTAAAATTGGAAGTCCACAAGGAAATGTCACGAGTCTCTCTGAAATCTGCAGGCAGACATGTTAGTTCAAAATATTGCACTGGTTAGTCTTATTCAGACTTGAATCTTCACCAGACACCATGATAGAGCTTTAATCCTGCAGCCTAAAGACAACTTTGTCTGTGTAGCCTGTTTCTTCAAGTCCCCCACATATATCCCCGTCTTCCCGAGACAAGGGAGATAACTGACTATAAAAGTCCAGTTTCCACCCTTGCCGAACTAGGCTGGTATTATGGAGTTACAGTTTGGCTGGACTAACAAGTCTATGCATAGTCAAATCAAAATTGCGTAATGAAATCAACATCCGGTTCGTAAACAAAATTTCAGAAGACTGTATGATTTGCAGAGGATGTGTACAGTCAACTGGGTGTCGACAGATATTTTACAAATCATTTCATGTTTTTAATCAAGGTGCTCATGTGATTTGATGCATTTTGCAAGGTAAGACCCGTTTTATTACAATATAGAACTTGATCATCGATCATATCACCTTGACTGGGCACCATCATTTTGTTTGAAGCAAATGCAAGTGATATGAGAGGTGGAATCTGATTGGTCAATAGGAGAGACATAGAAGGGACATAACTCGTAAAAGCCGCTGGTGGTGCTACGATCGAGCCTTGAAATTCCAGACTAGTTCGGCAAGGCTGGAAACTGAACATTTACAGTCAGTTAACTCCCATGCCTTGGGAAGACGGACACATTCACTCTCTCCCTTACTGATGATATCGCCAGGTTGGTCATGATGCCATGCCCAGATACTGTCTCAATTAGATATAACTGTTTAATGGCCACAGCTATCAGTTGTCCACTCACGGGGAATTGTTACTGAGCTGGGTTATCTTCTTCAAAGTGTTGAACTTCATTGTAGTATGTATGATTTGGGAGAACATACTTCAACAGTTGAAGTATGTTCTCCCAAATCATACATACTACAATGTGTGTATGTATTTTATCGCCACAATTTGTGTATTATGCAGATTTCTTTCTTTCTTTTTCTTTTTTCTTCTTCTTCAGCATTTCTTCCATGAATGGTTGATAGATAGTTAACATATTGATCTTCCTCCCGAGGCAAGGGGGTTAACTGCCCAAAGCAGTCCAGTTTCCACCCTTCCCATACTAGGTTTGAATTTCTGAATAATATTTTGGCTTGAGTAACAAGTCTATGCATAGTCTAGTCAAAATTGCGTAACAAGGTCGATATCTGGTTTGTAAATAACATTGCAAGTGCCGTGCAGATTTTGGTCGATTGCAGGATTTGCAATGCATGCGTACCTTCAACTGGGTGTCAACAGATCTTTTACAAACATTTTCATGTTTTTAATTAATGTGCTCAAGTGATTTTATGCACTTTGCTAGGTAAGACCTGTTTTATTACAATGTAGATCTTGATTATTGATCTGATCTTCTTGACTGGGTGCTGCCATTTTGTTTGAAGTAAATGCAAGCGATAGAAGAGGTTGAATCTGATTGGTCAGTAGGAGGGGCAATAGCCGGGGTGGGGGCGCTATGATCGAGCAACGAAATGCCAGACTAGTTCGGCAAGGTTGAAAGTTAACTCCATTGCCTCAGGAAGATGTATGTTGATAGGTACTTCAGCAGACTAGAAAACACAAATGCAAGCGATAAAAGAGGTTGAATCTGATTGGTCAACAGGAGGGGCAATAGCCACCGGGGCACTATGATCGAGCAACGAAATGCCAGCCTAGTTTGGCAAGGTTGAAAGTTAACTCCCTTGCCCCAGGAAGATGTATATTAATACTCATAGGTACTTCAGCAGACTAGAAAACACAACAAAACACATGTTGCGCAATAATTTTTCCCATAACTTAAGGTAGAAATTATTTTTCAATATTACTTAGATTATTAAGTTATATTGTGTTTTATTTTGACAGGTAAAGTTAATGAAACCCATCAACAGATGAGGCTGAAGTGGGGTGAGTGCATTTGTCAGTCACTTTGTTCATGACTCATTCAAAGTGTTGCCTCGCTTGAAATATGGCTAAAACAGATATTGTTTATTAAAAGAACCATTAAATAAAAACATGATGAGTATAAAGACAAATATTGTTTGTCATATTTCTTCCACGATCCTATGACTGTTTTGGGTTAATTTGCACTTGCATAAACTGTTCAGATTTGGTATTCTACAAATTCCCCCTTTTGAAACAATTTCTGAAGTACCCTGATCTTTAAGCCACTGTAAGTTGCTGGTGATGTATACTATTCAAAAGAAGTTAAAGAACACCCACAGCTGGTAGGCTGTGTGTTGCAATACCCACCAGCCATGACAGATTAACTAGAGGCATTAAACAGTTGGGTGTTCTTTAACTTCTTTTGAGTAGCAGATATCCTGTGAAAGTATAAATGACCTATTCCACCTTGCTTTGTAAGGGGAATGTATTTTCTGTCTGTTTCTGTCAGTATTTGAGTGTGAGTGAGTCGAGGTTCACCCTGTCTGTTTCTGTCAATATTTGCGTATGAGCAGTGTTAGAAATTGGCACTAGTCCTATAGTCCTTGCCAAACTGCCCAATGGTAAAGGTATCATAAGGACTAGTAGACATTTGCCCTTTTTAAGCGTTTTGCTATGTTATCATTATAAGGACTAGTGGACTAAAACTATGAGTGATGCGAGGTATACCCTGTCTGTTGTTGCAGGTGTTGGGCGTCTCATCAGCGAGAGTAACATCACACCGTTAGTCCTGCCCATGTTCCATTTTGGTGAGTTGCACTGAGATGCTGCCATGTTACATTTGTCTTGTCCTCGTCTCATTGTCTCTGTGTGGATGCCGGGGCAGCGGAGGTCTCCAGCACCTGCTTTTACGAATTGAAATGAAGGATCAGTTGGTGGCTGTGGGTTACCTGACTGATTGTGTATCCTCATAACTCATGCAATCCATCGTCTGTCGCATCACAAAGACATCCTCCAGTAAAAGCATTTACTTTTGCTTAAAAAGATAGACAAACTTCTGACCCAAATGCAGCCTTCGAAATTCCCTCCAGCCTGAGACTACTAAATTGGGATGAGGATAATTGCAAGTCCTATGATGGTAGTCCACATTGACAAGTTACATTTAAGTGCTATAGTTCTACAATTATAGGGCATCTTCCCGAGGCAAGAGAGTTAACTGACTATAAAAGTCCAGTCCAGCTGGTATTATGGAGTTACATTTTGGCTGGACTAACGAGTCTATGCATAGTCCAATCAAAATCGGTCACATAATCGAAACCCGGTCAGTAAACTGTCGTGTAGATTTCGGTCGATTGCAGGATTTGCAAACCATGTACACCGCCAACTCGTTGTCAACAAATATTTTCCAAATCTTTTCATGTTTTTAATCAAGGTGCTCACGCAATTTGATGCACTTCGCGATGTAAGACCCGTTAGAACTTATACACAATAGAACTTGATTATCGATAAGATCGTCTTGACTGGGTGGGGCCATTTTGTTTGATTCAAATGCAAGTGATACAAGAGGTGGAATCTGATTGGTCGATAGGCGAGGCTCAGAAGGGACATGACTCGTAATAACCACTGGTGGGGCTACGATCGAGCCCAGGAATTACAGCCTGGTTCGGCAAGGGTGGAAACTGGACGTTTAAAGTCAGTTAACTCCCTTGCTTCGGGAAGATGTTATAGGGTTACAAATTGAAACTGAATAAAAATGTAAACTGTTTTGTCTTGTTCAAGAAGGACAAGCTGCAAACTCTGAGGACTAGGGAAATAATGTAAATTCTAGTCCTTTGCACTAGTTTAAAAAGAACAACAATTTCAAAGGCTGTGAATATGTCCCTATTTTACAGCCCAGAGGAATCCCCGGGCAGAGTAGCCATAACATGCCTGTTGTAAGAGGCGACTGAATTATGAGCATCAGGTGACTTTGTTTATTGAATGTCATACTGCTGTGATATAGCGTTAATATTGCTCATCTCTGTCATGTAGCTGGAATCTTGCTGACCTCCATGATATAGCTGGAATATTGCTGACTGCAGCATGATATAGCTGGAATATTGCTGACTGCAGCATGATGTAGCTGGAATATTGCTGACTGCAGCATGATATAGCTGGAATATTGCTGACTGCAGCATGATGTAGCTGGAATATTGCTGACTGCAGCATGATGTAGCTGGAATATTGCTGACTGCAGCATGATGTAGCTGGAATATTGCTGACTATCGCAATATAGTTGGAATATTGCTGACTGTCGTGATATTGCTTGAATATTGCTGAATGCTGTGATATAGCTTGAATAATGATGACTGTCGCGATAAAGCTGGAATATTGCTGACTGGCGTGATATATCTGGAATATTGCTGACTGAAAAATTCTTAATAAATATAATTACGTTTCAGACTTTTGGAAAAAGAAAGAAATTGCCTGCATCAAAAATTACATTGTTGCAAGGTGTTTTTCCTGTTTTTTCTAATTTTGATAGTTAATCCAAGACTGAAATGGTCGGTCCCTTACTAGCAACCGCCTCCGTGGTCTAGTGGTAGAGCGTCCGCCAAGAGAGCGGAAGGTCCGGGGTTCGATCCCCGGCCGTGTCATACAATAAGACGTTAAAAGATGATACTTGTTGTTACCATGTCTGGCGCTCGGCATTAAGGGGCTAAAACAAGGACTGGTCGGCTCGGAGTCAGTATACTGTGTCTGAGTGGGGTATTCATGTTAAACTGCGGCATGGTATCTCAGTGAGCTAGCACTATAAATCGGCATCAGTCCGGACTAGTACAAGCAGCCACTCAAACACACACACGTACATGCACGTCGCTATATATGTGCAATAATCTTGGACGCGACGTTAAACCCAATTTCACCTCACCTTACTAGCAAGTCATTTCATTTCTAGTGGTTCCTCTCTCATGTTGGTGGACAGATCTACGGTTGAGTTTGTTGTAGGAATGGATGATGTGCTGCCCAACAAGACGCCCTATATTCCGCTCATTAAGAAGGTCAGTAGTCGCCTCGAACTGACCATCATTGGTCAACATGCACTATCCAATCTAAGACTTCTTCTTTCACTATCATCAGTGTAATAATCAAAGTCTTTTTTGTGTATGACCTTCATGACATGCTTGTTCTGTGTGTAAAGATTTGTTTTTCTCAAAATATTGTTTTATGTCAAATATTCAGATTGTATGACATGATTAGGTTACGTAATGTTTATGATGTGATGATGTATCTGAAGGAGTTTTGCAAAGTTGATTTGCATTGTTGAGTTTAACATCTTGGTGTACAGTACTTTCTTTGGGTTGATTTAGTTTCTAAGTCTTGTATTCTGGGGGAATAAAACGGTTTGATGAAATGGTGAGGGAAAGCAATTTGTGGTCAAAGGGAGGTAATCTCAGTGTGGACACCTTGCTGGTGCTGGTCAAGGGAACATAACTCTATTCTTTGCACACTGAAAGTCTACCTCCATACAGTAGTTGACTTCAGAACTATTCAGGATCTTCTTCAGTCACATGATTTGCTGGGTTTGTTTTTCAGAAAGTCACAGTGCTTATTGGTAAACCCATCGACTTTCAGGAGGAATTAGCCAAACTCCGTGAGCTAAAGAAAACGCCTGTAAGTATCACTTTGATGATTGAAATTATCTTCATTTTTCAGATATGTGAGAATGTGAGAAGCCCATTTCTGGTGTCCACCCCTGTGATATTGCTGGAATATTGCTATAAGCGATGAAAAACCATACTCACTCACTCAATCTTACATACACACTTTGTTAAAGGCATTTATAAGCTGACTAAGTTTGTATTTAACTTAAAATGATTCAAACTTTGTTTTCTTACAAAAATAGTTATTTTATCAAATGGTGTTTAGAGTTATTTCAGTTTAATTAAGCATCTTAGCTGTTCAAAGAAGATAAATAAATGGATAAATGATATAATGATAGGGAAATGTTGGTGCTTTGTCTCGGTCTCGTGTCATACTTTTGGCCATGTCTTTAGAAATGTTATGATGGTTTGCCTCAAACACAGGGAGGGGCGGTCGGGTAGCCTAGTGGTAAAAGCATTCGCTCATCACACCGAAGACCTTTGTTCGATTCCCAACATGGGTACAATGTGTGAAGCCCATTTCTGGTGTCCCCCGCCGTGATATTGCTGGAATATTACTAAAAGTGGCGTAAAATCAAACTCACTCGTTCTAATGACCTCAATATGCTGGTTGGTTAGGGGTGGAATTTAGCACAGCAAGTTTGTGCTTATATACCGGTACAATAATGTCATGAAAACAGCCTTACTACACGATAAGATCAAAGTTGGCATGTAAGGGTGGACATTTACCTGGAGTAGAAACACCAAAAGTCTACCAGTGCTCCAGGATCGGCTAGTCACAAAGCTGATTGTGTGTCCCTGTTCCCAGACAACATGAAGCATCGATTACACTGTCAAACACTCGACTACTTACAGGATACAAGTGTGATGAAGCTGATGATTGTAGTGATGTAAACACTGATGGAAACCAGTGACAAAAGTCTAACAGATCAGTTTCTGTCGGTCTAGTCAGTTTGACTCAGATGGCTATGTGTTTTGAGTGCTACTTCACTGAAAACCTTGAGGGAAAACAGGTTCTTTGGTCGACACCAATTTTAGACAGCTACTAGTCTTAACATGGTCAAGCAGGGGACTATTTCCTGTTGACCTGGTCAGCTTCATGTCTGGGCTCAGGGGTGATTCCCAATCAGAATTGGTCCCCAACAACCTATGTTGGTCGTGAGAGGTGACTAAATGAATCGGGTGGTCAGGCTCGATGTCTTTCTTTGTTGATTGCGTGTCATTGGACGCCGACTGTGTGGATCGTTGATCACTGGATTTTCAGGTCTGTACTCAATTATTTGGCTGCCATCTTAGTGTTGCTAGGTGTGGCATTAAACAAAAAAAATCTGCCGTCAGGATCTTGTACTGTTTCGTCAAATTACATGATGGCTGACGTCACACCAACAGTACCTTCATGAACTACAATCACTAGTTATGCTCTGGTTGTACAAAACTGCCTTAGCGCTACAACAGTTGTAAGTCTATGTTCAGGTTTGTTTGTTGTTTAACGCTGCACTCGGCAATAATATTCCAGCTATATGACGGCGGTCTGGACCAGACAATGTAGTGATTGACATCATGAGCATCAATCCACCCAACTGGGATAAGATGACATGCATCAACCAAGTCAGCGAGCTTGACCACCCGATCCCGTTGGTCGCTTCTTACGACAAGCATAGTCAATTTTCATGGTGCTGTTGTACAAAGCGATCTTAGCGTTTAGATGATCATGAACTCCTCCTATGTACAGGTATGGGAGCTTTAATCATCTTAGCGCTAAGATCGCTTTGGACAACAGCACCCTGGAATTGAAACAGTAGTGAAGATAACATTTGGTTTTCTTCTTTTCAGCGAGAGATACGTAAACGACTGACAGACTTGATACAAGAGGAGTTGTCGGTGTTGAAGGACAAGGCCCACATACTTCATAACCAGCATATACACCGGGGAAGATAGTGTGCGTGTGTGTTTTTGTAGAATGTGTGTTCAGTATGTGTGTGTGTGTGTGTGTGTGTGTGTGTTTGAGAAATGACCATTCAGATGATCACCTCATCTTCAGTCAGCTTCATTGAATTTATTGACGGGATTGCGGATCTGTGTGTGTCCAGAGACCCATGTTTCGCAGCAGTCTCATTGCTGGGACCAAATCAAGTCTGTTACAATACGGGAGTTTTCACAGTCATAGCGTTGCGATTGCTTTATGAACCATGGCCCTGTTTCACAAAGCGATTGTACTGTTACGACTGTCGTAAGTGTATGTTACTTACGATGGTTGTAGCATTATGATCGTTTTGTGAAACGGGGCCCAGCAATCTAGTTTGGGTCCAATGAGTTTATTTAGAAAAATATTTATATTGTTAGTATTGTCTGTTATTAAGGTGAAGTATTCTTACCTCTAATGTACCATAAATAAAAGTGTTGTGAAACAAATTGTCATCATAGTGTGACTATGGCAAGACATAAACATTTTCTCAACTGAATTGCCTTGAAAACCACATATTTCAATACAGGAAACAACACTTATGATGAACATGCTTATAATGAACTGACGGATAAAACAAACTGCTTTTTCGGTCTCGGATATTCGCTGTATATCTTATCATATAAAATTGATGGATATGACGAACATGCTTATAGCAAAATAACGGATATGGTGAACTCAGTTTGTGGTCCTGTGTGCACTCTTTCACCGACAAGGTTTATGTTTATGATGAGCTGTTAATCCCTGAGCTGGGTGCACGGGTGGCCCAGTCGTCTAATGCGCCGCAATTCGCTGTGCAGAGTTGTGTCCCTTGGGCATGCCAGAAACCTGTGATTGTGGGTTCGAATCCCGGTTCGCCCCGATTATGTTTCTAGGTTTATCAGCACCATATCCGTGCTCGTTGGTTTCACCTAAGTGGTAAATGAGACCTGCATCATTTCGGGCTTTCCTCCCACATTAATCTGACACACCGCGATATAACGGGAATACTGTTAAAAGCGGCGTTAAACCCACCCCAACTCACTCTCTCTTATGTGACACCCTTATTTACAGCATGTAGAATTTTTTTTAGGCCAATAAAAGTACCGGTAATGTGTTCTTGTTTCAAAATTTCAAAAATAAATTTACTAAATCTAAACACAATTGGTACAATGCCAATGTTGTTCTGATGTGACGTGTAATGGGCTGTTCTGATGTTTGGTGTTGTGGACAATAAACGATAAACAAGGATGCCCTCTCTCCAATGTTTCCCAGTTGATGGTCTTAAGTGATGTGCAGAAGCAGCCTGTCAATGTTAGATTCTACCTGTGTTTTTACCTCAGGCCACACTTTGTAACTTTTATGTTTCACAGATATATTCCAGCTTTTCTACACAAGGTCGGTCAAAATAAAAATACAGTAAACTACGGTTATAACGAACTCAAAGGGACTATTATTTTTAGTTCATTATAACCGTAGTTCGCATATACACAGCATAATTACAGCAAATAGTTGGGACTAAAAAGTAAGTTCGTTATATCCGTCAGTTCGCTATAAGCATGTTCGTTATAACCCAAGTTTACTGTAAAATTAAATAACTATGTCAGTCATTTATTTATATGAAAGTCATACTACATTTGTGTTTATTGTACTTCAAAAGTGTTGATTTATTAAAACTGAATGAAATAGAATCTTTAGTCATGCTTGTATATTTTTTGTATTAGCCCAGGGATTAATTTTGGATGAAATATTTGGTCATAAAACATGATGAAACCCGTTATTCGGCCCTGGGCTTTAATATATGCTTTTTTCCATATGATTTGTTTTTTGATTGTTTAGGCCACACTCAGCAATATTCCGGCTATATGACGGTGGTCTGTAAAAAATCGAGTCTGGACCAGACAATCCAGTGGTTGACATCATGAGCATCGATCCACACAATTAGGATCGATGACATGCATCAACCAAGTCAGCGAGCCTGACCACCCGATCCTGTCAGTTCCCTCTTGCGACAAGCATAGTCGCCTTTTACGGCAAGCATGGGTTGCTGAAGACCTATTCTACCCTGGATCTTCATGGGTCACAGATTGTACAGGTCACCAGATGTCTGTACGAGGAGGCAGGACAAGATGTGTTCACATGTAAGAAGATCTACTGATCATGTAGGACTAAGATGAGACAACAAAAATATTTATGACAGACAGTTGTGTTATGAAGGTACTGGTAAGGAGCATCATTTCATTGATGTATCAGCTTGCAAGTGCAGTACAATGACATGCCCACTTTGACCAGGTGGCCTGACCTGTCATGATCCACCCACTTTAGTCAGCCTGACCATGTGCTGACCTGCAGTGACACGCCCACTCTAGTCAGCCTGACTTTGTGCCGACCTGCATTGACACACCATCTCTGGTCAGTAATCCCGGACCATGTGCTGACCTGCAGTGACACACCCACTCTGGTCAGGTTTCCCAGACCTGCAGGGACACACCCACTCTGGTCAGTATTCCCGGACCTGCAGTGACACACCATCTCTGGTCATTTCCCGGATCATGTGCTGACCTGCAGTGACACACCCACTCTGGTCAGTATTCCCGGACCTGCAGTGACACACCATCTCTGGTCATTTCCTGGATCATGTGCTGACCTGCATTGACACACCATCTCTGGTCAGTATTCCCGGATCATGTGCTGACCTGCAGTGACACACCCACTCTGGTCAGTATTCCCAGACCTGCAGTGACACACCATCTCTGGTCATTTCCTGAATCATGTGCTGACCTGCATTGACACACAATCTCTGGTCAGTATTCTCGGTTCATGTGCTGACCTGCATTGACACACCCACTCTGGTCAGGTTTCCCGGACCTGCAGTGACACACCCACTCTGGTCAGTATTCCTGGATCATGTGCTGACCTGCAGTAACACACCCACTCTGGTCAGTATTCCTGGATCATGTGCTGACCTGCATTGACACACAATCTCTGGTCAGTATTCTCGGTTCATGTGCTGACCTGCATTGACACACCATCTCTGGTCAGTATTCCGGGATCATGTGCTGACCTGCAGTGACACACCCACTCTGGTCAGTATTCCTGGATCATGTGCTGACCTGCAGTAACACACCCACTCTGGTCAGTATTCCTGGATCATGTGCTGACCTGCATTGACACACAATCTCTGGTCAGTATTCTCGGTTCATGTGCTGACCTGCATTGACACACAATCTCTGGTCAGTATTCCGGGATCATGTGCTGACCTGCAGTGACACACCCACTCTGGTCAGTATTCCTGGATCATGTGCTGACCTGCATTGACACACCATCTCTGGTCAGTATTCCCGGACCATGTGCTGACCTGCATTGACACACCCACTCTGGTCAGTATTCCCGGATCATGTGCTGACCTGCATTGACACACCATCTCTGGTCAGTATTCCCGGATCATGTGCTGACCTGCATTGACACACCATCTCTGGTCAGTATTCCCGGACCATGTGCTGACCTGCATTGACACACCCATCAAAGACGCCAGAACTTTTTAGTATTTCCAATATATTTGTATTTAACTAATGTTGGTAATAAACTGAAACTAAAAACCCAAGAATTTTGTTGTGAGTCATGTCCAGTGATGAACATGAAATAACAGATGCCCAGCTTCCTATATGAGTTGAAAGCCAAGGTAAACCAGTTCCAGGACGTTAAATGACATTATTTCCATCTACTGAGGATTTACATTTGATATAGACTTAACGGTAAAAAAGGTAACTGTGCTGACCGTTTAACTCAGTTGCGGATTCCAGTTACCTGGTATTTTGCCAACATTTGGATCGTGTTAAGACTTCTGGTGATGCTCATGTCCAAATTCACTGCCAAGACATTATCCCTACAAGCACATGGTCAGCAACCTTCAGAACTGACACCCTGTGGGAAGTCTAGTTCCAGTAGTTCCAGGACAATGAAATGTCCTGACTTATTACTGGATGTCGGTTAACAACAGACATAATCCCTACAAGCACATGGTCAGCGCCCTTCAGAATTGACACCCTGCGGGAAGTCTAGTTCCAGGACAATGAAATGTCCTGACTTATTACTGGATGTCGGTTAACAACAGACATTATCCCTACAAGCACATGGTCAGCGCCCTTCAGAACTGTAACCCTGTGGGAAGTCTAGTTCCAGTAGTGCCAGGACAATGAAATGTCCTGACTTATTACTGGATGTCGGTTAACAACAGACATTATCCCTACAAGCACATGGTCAGCGCCCTTCAGAACTGTAACCCTGTGGGAAGTCTAGTTCCAGTAGTTCCAGGACAATGAAATGTCCTGACTTATTACTGGATGTCGGTTAACAACAGACATTATCCCTACAAGCACATGGTCAGCGACCTTCAGAACTGTAACCCTGTGGGAAGTCTAGTTCCAGTAGTTCCAGGACAATGAAATGTCCTGACTTATTACTGGATGTCGGTTAACAACAGACATAATCCCTACAAGCACATGGTCAGCGACCTTCAGAACTGACACCCTGTGGGAAGTCTAGTTCCAGGACAATGAAATGTCCTGACTTATTACTGGATGTTGGTTAACAACAGACATAATCCCTACAAGCACATGGTCAGCGACCTTCAGAACTGACACCCTGTGGGAAGTCTAGTGCCAGGACAATGAAATGTCCTGACTTATTACTGGATGTCGGTTAACAACAGACATTATCCCTACAAGCACATGGTCAGCGACCTTCAGAACTGACACCCTGTGGGAAGTCTAGTTCCAGGACAATGAAATTTCTTACATGTACTGGACATACAGACGTTGCCAGCACAAAGTAACTACTGTAAAACTTGCAATTAATGCGTCTCTAAAAGAATGCGACCGTTGGCCCCTAGCCAAAAATGAGACTCAATATGAATGTGACACCCCCTCCCCTCAAGCATCAGTGGATTTATATCTAAACAAAATGTCCTGTCAGGTTTACAGGAGAATCCTCACCTTAATCCAACCACTCACCAAATAGCACCGCTTATTAACGCTGAGTAGAGTACTTCAGCTAAAACCATACGTGCGCGCTGGCTCGTGTCGGCCTTTGATGCAGTCACAAAGAGCAAAGACACCGTGTTGGGTGGCATCTGTCTGGACTTGCAGGTGTGATCAGTGATGACATGAGTGAGAAGAACGCTTGTCTTGACCCCAGCAGTGACAATTCACAGGATGTAATTAGTGTTTGAATGACATTGTATATATACTTGTAACAAGTGCTGCTCAATAAACAGATGTGGAATACATAGTTGTTTGTTTTCAGCGTATGTCTAAGTTGGTATTTCTGGTATCCAAAATGTCTTATTGTTGATATAAATGAGATGTTTAATAATGCGAGCAAAGACCACTCGCATTTTTTGCATTTAATTCACGCTTGCGTTAATATAAAGATTTACAGTATCAAATGAAAACACAACAAAACTTATTGAAGTATTTTTCAGTTTTTATTTTGCTGGCTAGTGGTGGCATAGCAGCAAATAAGGACTGCTATAGATACAGCACTGTTTGAACATGGAGAAAGTTGGCAATACAAACTAGTAGTAATCATGGTCAACATGCAGACAGTAGAAATACCTCGCCATGCATCAAACTGAAGCACACGAAATAATATAATAATTCATATCAAAATATCTTTGTAAATTTCATCAAAAGTGTTGCTTGAACGACAGTAGTAGCCACCGAAAATATATTTTGAGAATGCATATTTGCAGTGGCTATATCTTTCTAGGTCAAAATACAACCTCTGGTGCGAGGTGTATGAATATCGTTTTTGTATAAGGCAATTATACCCTTCTCAAAACAGTTAACTCGTTATACTTTCCTGCACACCAACAAGCACATGACAACATCTATGTTACATGTACACAGCACACAATCTGTAAAAAAAGTTTTTTTTTCAAAAACACAAGCACAAATATTTCTAAATTTCAAAAAATTAAAAGCACTTTGAGTAATCTATGTGATCATAAATTTACAAACAGATCAATAAATAATCCCCTAATAAGCTGTACACATACATATCTACAAATGGACTGCTAATATATACACACATCTCCTTGGATCCAGTATAAAACTCGGCCCTCTCCGTGGCCCGTCTACCTAAGAACAAAAGACTAGTCGAGGCCAACACAATCCCAACAAGCAAGGCCAACCTCCTGCCAGGTACTACCATATGTCAGTCATTAACATCAGCCAATTCTTCAAGTCCTCGCTTCCTGTCAGTTTGATATACCGGTAACAGGCTTTGAACAGTATTTCAGTTATATCATGACGTCTTTTCCAGTTTAATCACGCGTCAACATAATATGGGTGTTAAGTTTGAAGTGATGTGAGTTGAATGTTTACGAATTCAGTGAAGCCCACGCGTATTGGTTTGGTGCTGACAAACCTGGAAACTTTACCAGGGAGAATCTGAGATTTAAACCATGATCATAGGTTTCTGGCATGCCTAAGGGGCATAACTCTGCACAGTGAATTAGACGACTGGGCCCCCCAAGTTCTAACTTCTTACAATACTCTGAAGGAGTAAGATCCAACATGAAGACCTGAAACTTTTCATGGATACGTTTTTTGTTTGTCAATACATTTCAGGGCTATGTTGCCCCTTCAACAGGTGAAGTGGCAGGAAATGGCCCGAAAATGTTGATATAAACAATAAAGGAGTTGTTATCCACACAGAGATTATTTGCCAAATGTGTTTTGCATATAGTAAATATCATATATCAGGAACAAAAATTGTATTATGTGAACCCTTGGCGAGCATAATACATACTTTTTATTCTTAATATTTATTTATGATATGGAAGTACACAAGGGTAATTATCCCTTTCCCACATAAAGTCAATCCTGAAATAATCAAAGTTTAAGACATTTACATTCACAAATGTAACTACAGAAATTGTGTAGGAATACAAAGACGAGTGAACTGCCCTATTCATAACATAGTGCCAAATAATTTGCAGCCATGTTAATTTACTTAAGTGCTCACACATCCGGGAACTTCTAAACAATTTGGTGAACCGTATAGAAAGGGTTTTGAGAAAGCAGACATCGGATCAATGTACTGACATCATTATAAAGTAGTTCCTGCTCAGTGACCTCATTTACATATTTATCAGATTGTGATACCAATGTTATCTGACTGGTTTATCACATCGATCACAGTAACCATTATATGATAAAGAGTTTGATGTCTTCATGTTTAACCATCTTCTAAATGCCTACAAATTTATTATCAGGCTTGTTCACATCTCACTTTGGACGACATCTTCCTGAGGCAAGGGAGTTAACTGACTGTTATAGTCCAGTTTCCACCCTTGCCGAACCAGGCTTGAATTTCTGGGCTCGTGGCTAAATAAATAAATAAAAAAAATAAAAAATAAATAGTTGAGTGTCGTCCACTGATCGTCTTGGGCTTAATTAAGTGTTGCTACTTCAGAATCGGCAAAATGAAATGAAAATGCTGTACAGTCTACACCTCCAAAAGCCTGCCATAAATGTCAGTATCAAAACGACAACAAATATACACACATCTTGAAGTCATGCCCAGCATGCAGAAGTGAACAGAAACGGACATTATCACTTGCCAGTTTTATACAGGTTAGTTCTGTGTAGGACATATTGAAAAAAGCTTCCAGGCATTTTTCAGCTTCAAAATATTCTCATTGAAACTATAAACCTACCTACCTAGGTTCAAAAATAGTGATTAAAAACCAAATCTCATTAAAATCAAACCTTAGTTCTCGCGTCCACTAAACAAAGATCTGAAGACATCCCATTAGGGGTCACGTCACAGGGTATTCCGAATGTTAGTTCCGGGTTTAAAGACTGAATCCATAAAATCTAGACCATCTATTAGCCATTCTAGAATGTTCTTTTGTTTAGGTTTCAAATTTGTAATCGGGAATTTGTCAAAATATGTTGCGAAGCGTAGACGCCAATTTGAAATAAGTGCCGTAAAGTACGAGAAAGCTGCCTTCTGATTGGTTATTCCATTGGTCAGTCAAAGTTGCGCAAGGTCGGTCTGACGTGACCTGTAATGGGATGTCCTCAGATCTTTGTTTAGCGGCAGCGAGAACTAAGATCTGATTTTAATGAGATTGTTAAAAAACCCTAAGGTCTACTAGTGCATGGGCATTGTGTTGAATACAGTTCAGGGCTGAACAACAAGAAAAAGATCGGAAAGTCCAAACATAAATATCATTACTTTTTCAGAGTAATTCTTTCAAATTTGTGCCAGGAAGAACTTCATTGCCAACATACTATTTCTTTTCTGAAATGGACCTTCCTGGACAGCCATCATACATATAACAGGTTTAGACGTTATGGCTAAGCCTTATATTTTATTAAGTTGGTTTACGAGACCGACCGACTGACCAAAAGACATTGAAATTAGAAAAATTAAAATAAAATGACTTTTGACAATTATTGTTTTGTCCAACGCTGTTTTACAACTAATAAAATTAAAAAGCTACAAGATTGCTGTTTGTTAGAAATGGTGAATAATACAACAATCTTTATTCTAACAAAAAAGATAAAAAAAACCCCCCAAAAACCTTAACAATTATCTTTCAGTAGCTTGCCATGTTGAAACATGTTTGGTTTTTCATTTATTGCTAGCAGTACTAATCTGGAAGGTGAAATGTCGGCCACCTACTATTCCATTGAATTTGAGGCCAATCGTTTTGTAAACCAACTAATAAAAAACCAAAAAACCCAATGAAGCTACCGTATATCGCTGTGTATAAGGCGACCCCACGTATAAGACGACCCCCCTGTACACGCCCTAAAAATCGAAATGCGAAGTTTTATTGTCAAATGCTTGGCTGGCTATCGGACGCCAGTTGACATCGCCAGTGGAAAAAAATGTGAGATCTTCGACTCCGTGTATAAGAGTCTTCTTAGCGCCCTCATTTTAGGTACGAAAAACTCGCCTTATACACAGCGATATACGGTAATGTTTATTTATGGTGCTGGAACTAAAAAATACTCAGCTTGTTTACCTGAAGCAAGGCGGAAAAGGGAAACCTCAATTTCCATAGTTAAATGACTGATTAAATGTGGCGACCACACACAACAGTCCCAGCAAACCTAGATAAAACACAAGCCATCATGTCAGTCAGGATTAAATTCCCACTACAAAATTACCATGGTTACTGTATAATTAAGACTGTAGGTAACCTACGGATACACATATTAGTGGTTATTCCAAAGAATTGTACATGCCTATATCGACACAAAATGAATGTTATCCTCATGGTTGATACATTTTTGTATCATGTATCGATACCAAACAGATGTCAACCCTATGCATGGTATCCCTGTATCGATACAATATGGATGCTATCCCCACACAATACATTGCTGTATCATGTATCAGGACTAAACAGATGTCAACCCTATGCATGGTATCCCTGTATAGATACAATATGGATGTTATCACAACACGATACATGGCTGTATCATGTATCAGGACTAAACAGATGTCAACCCTATGCATGGTATCCCTGTATCGACACAATATGCATGTTATCACCACACGATACATGGCTGTATCATGTATCAATACCAAACAGATGTCAACCCTATGCATGGTATCCCTGTATCGATACAATATGGATGTTATCCCCACACGATACATTGATGTATCATGTATCAATACTAAACAGATGTCATCACAACACAAGTCAATAAATACCCGTTAAAAACACACGTATCACAGACAACATCCAGCAAACATGACTGAAAGACAATCTTCGTCAAACATCACTTCTTACAACAAAGTACACATAGCAGGCCTGGTCATCACCAGTCCCCATAAAAACCTGTTCCTCAACAATCAACGATGACAAGTCTAGATTGACTGCGCTTATGCTAATTTGTGTATCTAACCAGAACAGTTATACAGGCTGATGTCCTATTTTTTGGTTAAACTTTGGGTGGTTGAAGAGCTTTGAGGAGGTTGGGGTGGAGGTTTTGAGGTGAGGGGGTAGGGTGGTGGAAGTCAGAGGGGGTTGGGTAGACCTGTGAAAGGGGTGGGGTGGAGCTGAGAGGGGGTTAGATAGACCTACCGCTTGGTGGGGTGGAGCTGAGAGGGGGTTGGGTAGACCTACCGCTTGGTGGGGTGGAGCTGAGAGGGGGTTGCGTAGATCTACTAAGTGGTGGGGTGGAGCTGAGAGGGGGTTGGGTAGACCTAGGGTTTGGTGGGGTGGATCTGAGAGGGGGTTGGGTAGACCTACGAAGTGGTGGGGTGGAGCTGAGAGGGGCTGGGTAGACCTACAAAGTGGTGGGGTGGAGTTGAGAGGGGGTTGGGTAGACCTACAAAGTGGTGGGGTGGAGTTGAGAGGGGGTTGGGTAGATCTACCATGAGGTGGGGTGGAGCTGAGAGGGGGTTGGGTAGACCTACAAAGTGGTGGGGTGGAGTTGAGAGGGGGTTGGGTAGATCTACCACGTGGTGGGGTGGAGCTGAGAGGGGGTTGGGTAGATCTACGAAGTGGTGGGGTGGAGTTGAGAGGGGCTGGGTAGACCTACAAAGTGGTGGGGTGGAGTTGAGAAGAGGTTGGGTAGACCTATGAAGTGGTGGGGTGGATCTGTGTGGGGGTTGGGTAGACCTACGAAGTGGTGGGGTGGAGCTGATAGAGAGTTGGGTAGAAAGTTCTTGCTAGAAATAGTCACACACTATTATTTTGATATGTAGCATTTGACAATACTATTAAAACATACATTTGTAAGGTGAACCCTTTACAGATTATAAACAAAACTGTCAATCAGCTTCTCACTGGAACCTGCCCAATGGTCAAAGGGGGACAACTTTTGTCATGATACGATCTCCATCACTTAACCGCTATGTATATCACAAGGACCTATATACTTCATGCATATCTTGAGTCATATCAGGATAATTATTATCATTACTACAATTATTATTTATGTCTGTAAAATAACCATAATATAGTGAATTGATACAGCTATGTTGTTGATACATATCATGCACTGGTGATGTGAACCAATCAGATGTCCAGCATTCAGCTTCACAGTCTTAGTCCGGACCAATTTGTTATTTTTGACTTGCAGGTTTTTTTGGCCAATAGGCCCAAACTGAGAAATCAAAATGGAAAATTTTGTAGGAAATTGTGTAGGATCATCTTAAAAAGAAGAAGAAAAATTTGATCTGGTCTACGTTCATTAAACAATATTATTCATAATCAAGGACTATGTTATATTAACATAAAAATTGTTCTTTTAAGGCAATAACCTCTAGAAACGGCTTGTGACCCTTCAGTACACGCTTCTCTGTGTTTAACAGGAACCTGCAATAAGCTTTCAAGATGTAATTATTTGATCAGGACTACCATGGTTACTGGTATGACTGTAATGAAAACAAGATCTATGTATAATACACACAACCACAATTAGACCTAAATAAAACAGTGCGTTTGCTATTCAATCAGATTATAACATACCCTTATGTATGTTTCAGTTTGGATGCAATAAACATACACTCACACAATAAAACTTGTTATAGTAATTTTTTTTGGTGTATTTGAAGAAAGGAAATAGCCTGGAAATGCAAACAATAATTAGGGTAGATACAGTGAGAAATGCTGCAGAGAAGTAAAAAATATAATATTTTTCATGTGTCAGACATTGCATAACAAAAGCAAAAATATTCACAAGCGAAGTAAAGCTGATCATCTCCTCCTCTTGCGAATTACAACTTTACACTCTGACTGGGGCTCGACTTCGTATGCCCCCACCTCGGTGCAACTCCCTCCAAGCCAAGAACTCGGGATTTCTGCATCTTCCTCCAGGTAGGGGTTGCCTTGGGCAGTGCTGGGGACCCCGGGGGTGGGGCTGGAGGTCCCCACCCCATCACTGGACACCCCCAGAGGGGGACTAGGAGCTGTATCACTGCTGGGCATGGACAGAGCTTTAGACAGCTGAGGGTACTGGTCAGACTTGCGATGCAGCCCCCTGGATGCCGCTGTCTCCATAGCCTTCTCCAGCGAAAGTCTAAAATTGGCACGGGCTAGTTGCAGTTTCTGGCGGGACATGCAAGGAGCACTGTTTTCTTTGGTTTTTCGGATCTGCTTTGGATTTGTACAAGACTTAGAGTCCAATCTGATACGCTTTTGTGCAGTGGGGCCACCAATATTTGTCAACGGGATGCCAACATACGTGTTGCTTGGTTTGTTCTCGGAAGCTGACAAAACTCCTGCCCCCAGAACATTCGTTGTCATGGTTTCCGCTGGCATGACCTTTGACATGACCTGATGCTGACCTCCATGAAGTCCCGACTGGACAAATGAGACCCCATCAAACTGTCTCCTCGTAGGGTCATACCCATGTCCGTTACTCTCCACCGACACAACCCTCTTCCGGGGCACATCACTCATCTTACGAGGACTTGGAATAAAATGGCTCTTGTAAGGACTCCTGGAGACTGCCATCTTGTAGGGACTGGTGCTGGAGGTCAGACCTCTTTTGCCCGGACTCAGAATCCTCAGCGGACTCTTTAAAGGACTCTTGAAAAGACCTTCAAGCAAACCAATGTCAACTTCGTTATCTAAACTAAAAAGGTTTTCTTCAAAATTTTCAATGAAGTTTTTGTCCCAGTCATCCAGCAGGGGCAGGTCATGATTTGTGGGTCTGGGGGAAGTGAGGTCATCGATCACCGACGCCATCATAGCGATCTTGGATGGACTCTGCTGCACAAGGCTGGATGTGTATAATGGTGGTGGTGGCTGCTGCTGCTGCTGCTGTTGCATCAAGTGGGGGAAACTAGAGGGTCCGGTGGCCGGAGGAGAGAAGTAACCACTGTCGAAGGACGTCTCGCTCTCCAAACTCTGGCGTTTGGGCGTGTTGTCTGTGTAGTAGACATGTTGTGTTGGTGTGATGGAAGATGTGGAATCGGTCCCGGGGTCTGCTATGCTATCCACACTGTCAGGGACATACAGCATTGTTCTACACCCGTGCTCTGCAACAAACAAGCACATTTCTTAGCAAGAGCTCAACATCAGAGCAGGCATTATCTAGGATTTTAAACTAAGTGCCCTGGGCAGGCAAATTGGATAAAACCCTTTATTTTCCTCCCTAAATACTGGGGTATTTTAACATTGCATTCAGTCTGATAATATAAAAGTACTTAAACTAATCATTCAAGACTCATTCTCTTTGTTTGTACTGTTATCAGTGATAAACAGTCTTGCCTCGTTTATACGGACACTTGCGTCATTTCACAATTCGTCCGTATAAACGAATTTCCGTATAACTGAAACCAGCTTCTTACTGGAAGAGTTACTTCCCTTCAATAATTTTCCGGAAGATCTAGCCACTTCTGTTTGTCTTTTAAAATGTCACCAATTGTCGATTTTCTTATGGTTTCTCCAAATTCAGTGGCATAATGCTTACTGATGGTTTCCAAACTTGCTGACGGGTGTTTTTCCTTAAACAGACAAATTTCCCTTTTTTCGCGTGCTGTAACTGCGTGTCGCTTACGTTTCGCTGGTTGACAGGCCATACACACAGTTTGAAGTCACAACTTTGACCTCCACAGACGCCATATTTATCGAATGGGGTTTCATGTACAATAAACAAGCTCGTCTCAAACGTAACTCAGTGTCATTTGGTTAATTGACTTCTCACGAATCAAAGGATTACCACCAGCAGAAGGATTACCACCAGCGGAAGTGTATTGTCCGGGTAAGTGAGACAATTTTGTGTGCGTTTCAGTGTTTTGTGTATGATAATGACCATCCTGTCTGGAAACTGAATTTCCGTATATACGGGTAAATTTATATAGTAATTATTTCGTTTTGAATGAAAATCGTCCGGGAACCTGAAGTCCGTATAAGCGGGGCATGACTGTACAAGTTAAATCTACAAAGCTGTATAACAATGTAAATGTGCAATTCTGTATGTAATGAGTCAAGAGTTGAATGTTCTTTTAGAAGCATACATTGTTTACCCACAAAAGATCCACCATGGTCGCATCCATATGAAATGGAAAGTAAAACGTGTGTTTCTGTGGTGGTTTTTTTATGCAAACAAATGACAAATTACAAGAAACAATAACTAAACAAGATGAAGTCATCTATATCCCCTGCCCATTTTAACACGTAATGGTCCCAACATTTCTCTTAGCCCATGTCAAAATAGCTGCAATGGAAATTCTAAAATAAACATTTCTAAAACGCCTTAATATCAAATGGCACCAGTTCAGTATGTCCTTTATATATAGACATGCAATGTTTTACAAGGAAATATTTTACAGATTATTTGTTATACTCCATAAGTGAACCCACCCTATATGAAAACTTAAATCCATCTTGTTGCCATGGAAACATAAAAAATAAAAATTTCTAAAATTTCTTAATAGCAAAAGGCACCAGTTCAGCATGTACCTGACAAACCTGCAAAGTTTGATGAAAAAATATTGAACTGTTTATGAGTTATGCTCCGGAAACGAACCCTACCCTCACAGAACCTAAGTCCATCTAGTTGCCATGGAAACGTAAAAAATAAAAATTTCTAAAATTTCTAAATAGCAAAAAGCAATAGTTCACCATGTACTTGACAGACCTGCAAAGCTTCCTGAAAAAATATTGAACGGTTTCTGAGTTATGCTCCATAAACGAAACATGACGCACGGAGCCCGGTTCTATATTAATTAGGACACTCTATATTCCAATTTGGAAATTTTTCTGACATTTGCTGCAGACTTGGGGCCGAAAGTGGGACTTGGACTAGGTCTAGAGTCAGTGATTTGGGTTTAACGCCGCTTTTAACAGTATTACAGTTACATCACGGCGTGTCAGCTTAATGTGGGAGGAAAGCCTGAAGTGATGCAGGTCTCAGGCATTTACCACTTCGGTGAAACCAACGAGCACAGGTATGGTGCTGACAAACCTAGAAACATAATCGAGGAGAACCAGGATTCGAACCCACAATCATAGGTTTCTGATGTGCCCAAGGGACGCAACTCTGCACAGCGAATCACGGCACCTCAGACGACTGGGCCACCCGTGCCCATGACTAGGTCTAGATAAGCCTCTGCAAAGAAATGAATGAATTGTCCCACACTTCCACCTTAACTAACATAGGTTGTTTTGATCTCCAACGGCAACACACATACATGTTCTACATCCTCACCAGGATTGAAATTGGACATGGAGGTCAAGAGGTCCTTGTCTTTACCGATGCCTGGGGCCCCCCTATATTTCAAACACTGTGATCACTGTATGTTTCTATGTTGTTTAACACCCCCCTCAGCAATGTTCCTGCTATATGAAGGCAGCCATTACAAAATCGAGTCTGGACCAGACAATCCAGGAATCCATGCAGTTGAGGTACAAGGGCACTATCATCCAGCCTCGCAATGTAGTTCACACTGTATGGATGAAAGGGTTCCCACAATCCCCTGTGTTGCAGACATGTAAACATTCCGACTGTCAATTTGAAGGGAAATTCAAAAGGAAAAAATGAATGATTTCGTAATATTTTTAAGTTAATATGACTGAAACTGATAAATCTATCAAAAGTTTTGAACATGTGTATTTAAGGAGTCATGGTTGCTTCATTTTGATAGTATTGTGATCTATTGCTGGAAATAATGATTTTGTTAATGGCAGTCAGAAGTTTAACAGATAATATTATAGAGCATAGTGATTCTAACAGACATTGAAGACCCGTGAAGATCCAGGGTAGAATAGGTTTTCATCAACCCATGCTTGCTGTTAAAGGCAACTATGCTTGTCGTAAGAGGCGACTAACGGGATCAGGTGGTCAGGTTTGCCAAACCAAACCACAGACAAAGGAAGTGTAGAAAATATATTTTATGCAACAGACAAAAACCGTCCATATTTAAATTAGCTATTATACTACAATTTCAAAAATATAATCTAACAATAACATAATCTATTATACATCATGAACAAAACAGAAACTGTTAGTTTTTAAAGACAATCTTGAAATTTCCTAATGTACAGAAAATCATTTCGAAATTGGCTTTGACTTCACATTTATAAACATACCCCTGCACGAATGTTTTGTGCTTTTGAACATTGTTGAATGTTTCATTAGTCTCTTTAAAAATGAGATGTGCCATTGAGGACTTCACTTCTGACAACTAACCTAGGAAACATGGAACAGTAATCTCAATTCATTACTGCTTGTCAGATGACAGCCACAGAAACTTGGTCAACCAGTATTTTTTTTTTATCTTTCGCTTAATTACTGTTTTTTTCGGGTTTGTCCCCATCTGGTATTTGATATCTTTCACTTGTTAGTAAAAACCCTCAAACTATTTCACCACTGGCATCTTGCCTTGAAACTATGAACAGTGCACACGACAGGATGTAATATAGTAAACTCGAAACATTGAGTGACATCGCTTACTGAAGACTAATGGCCTCGTTATTGCTGTAATATAAGTTGTAGCAGTATCGCACATGCACATAAGGGAGGTAACTGAAAATTAACCTTTATCTTTGCGAACTTGAACTTTTCAATTAAGGAAATATATTTCGAAGGTATTCGGTGTATATCATAAAAATTTCTACTTGAAATCACCTGATATACCGCACATAAAAAATATTTAGATATATTGTGATAAGTACCATGGAAAGAATTTACCTCAAATTACTGATATAGTGGTAATACCGCTCATCCCTAAATAAAATATTGTATATATGTTGGACACTTGTTCAGTAATTTAAGCAACACCATATTTCACATAAAAAAGTTTGTGCACAAATGGCCAAGAAAGGTGTTTTTTTTCTCAATAAGGCTTCCAAATAAAGAAATTTAGATTGGAACTGAGGAAATTAGGGAGACACCACTAATGTGGTCGATAAGGAAGTTCATCAGTACGGAGGTGTCTTTGGAAATACAGAAAACACAAATGCCATACTATGTCAACTAGCCTTCATTTGGCCAGTGCTCCTTCACAATAGTCATTTGTACTGGATATTGATTCATATGTTGATACATCAATACTTGCTTGAGTTCGCCCTGAAGTCACATCATGGCTGCCACTGCACATGTACTGGAGTATCAGAATGAATCTGAGTGGACAAGTATTCACACTACCGTATTACTACCATAATAAGCAACCCACTCTAATAAGCGCCCACAGCAATATTTGCTGATATATTGGCTAGTGAACAATCCCAATTAGCACCCCTTCCAACTGATCAATGTACACAAGACTTATTTATTCACGTATAATACACACTTGTTTGTTATATGCACCCTTAATTAAGGGCAATTACATTCTTGAAAAATATATCTCTACTACATAAACATTTCAGGCTGTCAGCATAAACCCTGACATCTATCTTTCACCCAAATAAGAGCCCCCTGTTTCTAATTTTGAGAGCGCCCTGGGCACTTATTTTGTCGAATACAGTAGTTGCTAACATGGGGAAGAAGCCATGTTGGGGGGTGCGGGAGGGGAAACAATGCCTGCCAATGTGTCATTGATTTGCTCTTTGATGTTCACCTCATTGATATTCATTCATATAATTTGCTTTCAAATATCAATAATTTAAGTTGTCTTACATGCTTAACACTCTTACAGCCTCGACCCATTTGCACCTTTACTTCTTCTTCAGAGTTTTAATGACATGACCTCCCAAAAATGGAAAAAATGTCAAATAATATCACAATATTCTTCCATGATTTAAACAAGCCAAGTCAACTTTTGTGTGCCATTGCAAAAAACGGAACTACTTTGTTGTTGACTTCACGTTCCTGAGTGAGAGAAATTCTGTGTTAATTTCTAAGTTTGTGATAGGAGAGACCACGTTCCTTCCCGGTGTGTGACACCTTCGTTACACTCTAGGTAACATTGCTGCCACCAATGTGGGCGCGGCCATTACAGGAATCTTGAAATTTGCCCTCTAACCCCAAATGTAGTAATGTTTATGTTTTTGTTTGTGTCTTAGGGAATGCTATCACAGTGAATTTTGAAAAGGTTTACGAACGACCACATTTCCCAGATGAATTTACCTTTTGTTTGTTTGATCACATTGGTTCGAGATTGCAGACGGACGGACAATTAACCAACTTCCCCCTTACATTCTTACTATACCAATTACATGATAGTTGTAATGAAACAAATTCAAATTGACAAACAAAGAAAATAATTTAGCAGGGGTAAGAGAATTTGACATCACAGCAGTCATCACTTGTTTGTAAACATAATGGTCAGTCGGCTGCTAGTTGAACTCCAAGCGTGGTTGTAGCCAGGTATCACAGTGGGGAGTTTTGACAGGTGGCAGCGACAGTATAGAGAGCTCCGCGAACGGGATATCGCTGTGAGGAGCTTGAAGAGACACATCACCGGTGACATCACTTCCAAAATGGAATGATGGTTAATGAATAGGTCCAGGGTATTGATCACAACAGAATGGAGGTGTAATGCACTGGATAAGTGAGGATGACATCTGATGTTTATCCATGTTGATGAAAGTCAATGGTAACTACAATCACCACACTGACTTCACAGCTTTACGACAAAGCCTCATAGTGAACACTGATGAATACAGCTCTGTTGACTCTCACCTGGGAGGTTAATGAAGATGTCATGCAATGGGATGGAGTTTGCGTCGTAATGTTGTTTGCATTGTTTGTGAGTGACACTGCCCACATATTTCCATCTTCACAAGTACTACAGCGATAGAAACTAACAATTCTGGCCCACTAGTCCTTTATAAAAAATAACATAGAAAAACACTTAAGAAGTGCAAATTTCTACTTGTCCTTATGATTCCTTAACTATTGGGCATTTTGGCAAAGACTATAACTATACTAGTTAAACTAGTGCCAATTTCTAACGCTGTACTATAAATTTATTAATCAAATAGTTTGCCTTGCCTCAATTTCACTACTTTACCAGAGCAAACAGGGTTAGAAACTAAAAGTTTTTGTCCACTAGTCCTTATAACGATAACATTTAGCAAAACCGTTAAAATGGGCCAATTTCTACTAGTCCTTATATGATACCTTAACTATTGGGCAGTTTGTAAGACTACAGGACTAGTGCCAATTTCTAACGCTGGCAAACAATTAAAATATTTCTGTCAAAACACCAATTAAAACCTAATCAGATTTCAAGATTAATTCTCTAAGTTAAGGATCCATGCCAGAAGTTTGCAATGTTATCAAAGCTATGCATGCATTAACAGGGTTTTCCGTGACGCACAAATGTAGTGAATGGACACAGAAAAAGAATATACTGCATCCCAAGGGAGGCACAATAATATTCATTGTACCTACAGCTCATCAAGAGCAGTTTTAGGTGCCTGTCATGTGATCCATCAATCATGACCAGTGTACACATGAGCTTTGATTCATTCCAGGGTCTAAAGTAATCAAGACATACTGTACACTACACTATTTCACTACCTTACTGTACCCTCATAGTAATACTGCCTGCAAGGACCCTTAAAAAAATGGGGGGTCATCTGGACTTCCATGTTTGTATGTATGTTTGTATGTCCTGCTATATGGTTGAGGTGAAATGGGGTTTAACGTCGCGTCCAAGATTATTGCACTTATATAGCGACGTGCATGCACATGTATGTGTGTGGCTGCTTGTACTAGTCCGGACTGATGCCGATTTATAGTGCTAGCACACTGAGATACCATGCCGCAGTTTAACATGAATACCCCACTCAGACACAGTATACTGACTCCGAGCCGACCAGTCCTTGTTTCAGCCCCTTAATGCCGAGCGCCAGACAGGGTAACAACAAGTACCATCTTTTAACGTCTTTTGGTATGACACGGCTGGGGATCGAACCCTGGACCTTCCGCTCTCCGGGCGGACGCTCTACCACTAGACCACGGAGGCGGTAGCTCAGCAAGAGCAGTTTAAGGTGTCGGTCATGTGATCCATCAATCATGACCACTGTCCACATGAGCTTTGATTCATTCCAGGCTCTAAAGTAATCAAGACGTACAGTACACTACACTATTTAACTACCTTACTTACAGCACCCTCATAGTCATATTGCCTGCAAGGACCCTTAAAAAAATGGGGGGTCATCTTGACTTCCATTTTTGTATGTATGTTTGTGAGTCCAGCAGTCTGAATATAATCGAGTCTGGATCAGACGGTCCAGTGATTGACATCATGAGCATTGATTCACGCAATAGGGATGCGATGACATGCATCAACCCAGTTAGCAAGCCTGACCACCCGATCATGTTAGTCGCCTCTTACAAAAAGCATGGTCTGCTGAAGACCTATTTTAACCCGGATCTTCACGGGTGAAGACAGTTATTGAGAAAGTGAATATTTCTTTGTTTGGTTTGTTGTTTAACACAGAACTCAGTAATATTCCAGCTATGTGATCAAAAACGGTAAAAGACCAAATCTGGTCCAAAAATACAAGTGACTGATATCATGAGCAATGTCCCATGCTGTAAGGGTATGATGACATCATTAAGTTGGACCACCCAATCCATTTAATAAAATAAGTTGCCTGGGGATCAATTTTAACCTGTAATCCGAATGGGGTGAGAGAATGCATGTTGTTTTACATGGTAGTGAGTGAGTGAGTGAGTGAGTGAGTGAGTGAGTGAGTGAGTTGGGTTAAATGACGCTTTTAACATTATTCCAGTTATATCACGGCGTGTCAGCTTAATGTGGGAGGAAAGCCTGAAGTGATGCAGTTCTAAGACTTCGGTGAAACCCATGAGCATGGGTATGGTGCTGACAAACCTAGAAACATAATTGGCGCGAACCGGGTTTCGAACCCACAATCATAGGTTTCTGGCGTGCCCAAGGGACGCAACTCTGCACAGCAAATCGCGGCGCCTTAGACGACTGGGCCACCCTTATCCCTTCAAAGTAGTAAGACCTTTATCACATCACCAAGTCTGGGCCAGACTTACCAGTGGTTGACTGATGAGGCAACATCCAATGCCTCAAAATCAATCCAGTCACATATTGTGAACACCACATCATCTGTTTGATGGAGATCTAGGATAAACATGATCCTAAATTTCTCTCAACATGCTTAATTAATCCATGTTAAGATCAAGACCAAAAGGCAATCACAAAGTTCAAAACCTTTTCAACATGCCCAAGGTTCTCTCAGAAACATTAAACTTGAAGGCCATGCAAAGTAAGTTTTCCCCATGCTGACTGGCAAAACTCATGTCACACTTGAATATAACCAATGAAAATGTTATCTACAAAATGATGCTGATAAAGATTTGCAAAACATTAATCATCCATAAGAAAAGCTATAATGTACTTTGTACTCTAATTTGTCCCAATTTTCATGTTATTGAGACGCAATGGTAAATTTAGTTACAAAATAGAAGTAAACATATTTTTAAGGAAACGTCGACCGTGAAGTTTACAAATATGTTACAATACCCTAAGAATCAATTTGTGAAATGCTGTGGTACTGAATTCTAAAGATACATATTTATTGTCTGAACAAGATGCGCCTGTGCTTGTAACCTTCTCATGTTACACCACTCATATATTTCCTTACAGTGGTGTCATTTCTTAATAACTTACCGACTACCATGAGGTGAGTTTGACCATATTGAGAAATATTTGTTTCCTAATTGATGAATTTAAGCAGAAGCAAAATGAGCCACACTGAAGTCTGTCTATACATAGTAGGGTGTTGAGAATTCCGCCCCAGACATCAGGGTGCTAACGAAAACAATACAGACTTGGCTAATCTGATCCTTCATGAAACAAATGCAAATTAGATTTTGTACCGTAACTGAACACATGCCTTGGATAAATTACACCTACATCGTCACATATATCAACATATAGTGGCACACAATAACGTCAAGTGTGGTACAACATGATTCTCCTTGTCTAAAATCCTGACACCTGAACTTGCAACTGACAAACTTGTAGGCTTTAGTGTGGTAGACTTCTCCAGCAGTGTAAATGAGGCTGAAAATATGGCAGGCTTCTGACACTGTTGGCAATAGCGTATATTGTATGAAATACTTACGCTTGTCTATATGTCACGACGTTAGATGTGCATATATATGTTAAAAGGTTGCACAATTAAAGTGGTCGAAATATATCGCCGATCGATCACCATTCACAACTTGGCGCCATGGCCGAACCGGAAGTAAAAGTGATTGGCGCGATTTTTCTGCGCTTCAGCCAATGAAATCACGAAGTCACATTAACTGCTGTCTTGTATGCTACTAAAATTAGATACAGGGAGAAGGTATGTGTTCTATTTGTGTACTTATTTCCTGACAAATAGGCCTTTATTGTCTTTGCTATTGCTTAAACTTTAATGCATGCTAAACTTTAACAAGACTGCTAACTGCCCTGCTCAACGGCTTCCCCCAAAGCAGCCCTGATGCCACGTTATGTGTGTGCAAAATGTAGGTCTAGTCTCTCTTGAAGGCCTATTTTCCCGTCATGGTCGAAGACGAGCAAATTTGATACCATGCCGCCGCTAAAAAGGTCGTATTTTCATCGACTTAATAGATCGGCCACCATTTTAGCTGTATGTGTATTTATCATAGTGCAGATTTAAATAAGGATGCTCTCCGAATTGAGCGATCCGTTTCCAATTTGACAGGTTGTGAGTGTAAATAGAACGGGAACGGCGTGGCTGAGCTATGAAATTGACATTTGGTTTCCTGTCCCGATCGATTCGAAGTAAATAATCAATATTAAGCAAATGATGAAATATATAATTTTATTTAACAGACGGTGTATTTCAAAATGAATTCAGCATGTATCTTGTGCGTTTTCATTGTGCGGATAATCCACCGAGACCGCGTTCTCGCTATTGACACATTTGTAAACATAAACTAGACCATGATAACTGGGTCTAGGCAAGGTGCTGTCATTCATTGATTCACACCTGTTTGTGGCCTGAACCAGCAGATCTCCACATCATTTCACAATCTGACATATAAGTTAGTCTTTACACTAATTTCTTAAGATCATTTTGATATTATTCCCCCCCAGTCCATGCTTGAAAACCTGTCTGCAAACTGAAGAGTTTAGAAGGTTTTGTTTGTTTTCTCACTCAGCTTATCTACATGGCCCTTTTGTCTGAGAAATGTCTGACCTCCATATCAAAACCGAACCCAGTAACCTGTTTACATATACAAGTTTCAGTTCATGACCAGTTTATGATAAATAAATCCTAAAATCCCAGTTCCGGTATGAAATAATATGAAGCCTAGATATATTATATATATTACATTCTTATTTTGTTTATGGCTTACCCCTATATTTTTTAAAAAGGTTTACAATTACAAAATAAGTATTTCAGATCGAAAAGTGTTAGTTATTTAGAATAAAGGATTATCCTACACATCACTAATCATGTGGATGTCTGTAATATTTATGAAAATATAGAATCATTTACCGGTTCGCCATGTGCTTGTATTAGGTAAATATACGTGATGCATTCCCTAATTAGATGTTACATAATGAGGATTGCATTGTTTCGCTGGTAAACATTTTTCACATGGGGTCATACCCCCATAAAGTCACTGAAGCTGAACTGCATTCAAGCATGAAATAGGTTGTTCCCCTCACACAACAGAAAGTCAGACATAAAAGAAAGTTGAGAGTATTTTATAATTGGGTTAAAAGTGACAGTTGGAATGTGTTTTGTTCAATCTGATAAGCCAGTAGAAGGCAATACGTAGATTTTAACAGACCCTCAGTATATGCTCCATTGAATCACAACTAGGTGAGTACAAAATTAATGTTAATGTTTCTTTAGGTATTTACCTTCAAGTAAAATTCATTTGTAGGTCATCCCTCTGTGAGTGAAGTGTGTACCTCTGATACCTTTTCCTTAAAAATGACACTCCAGTTTTTATACCCCTACTCTGTACATGCCATGTCTGATGATCCTAACAAGGTCACTACTAAAACATCAACATTGCAATACACAGGGGCAGAAATTGACAAATTTACTAGAAGTTTTGAGGGATTTCTATAGTGTATCCTTGATTGCTGATTCTCCACGTATTTCATTTAGATCTTTTTAGAAAATATTTACAAAAAAACCATCTTACTGACTGTCATGACTTTTAGTGCTTTACTTGGGGATTGAGGGATTGGGGCAAGTGTTTGTTTGTTTGTTGTGTGACTCCTCACTATATTATAAGCGACATCCACCACGAAGTCACCAAGCTTGACCACCTGATTCATTTAGTCACCTACTGCAACTAAAAAAACCTTATAAAGTTAAATAAAACTCTGCTGATTAAATTCACATGGCAAAACAACATGGTGATAAGTTTCATGCGACAGAAATGTATTGAAATGCATTATATCTGTCTGTGTTATCACATGTATCGTGTATCTAATATACTAACTATTGTATCTAGCATATTGACTGTCCTATCTGGGGCGGTCGGGTAGCCTAGTGGTTAAAGTGTTCGCTCGTTACGCCGAAGACCCAGTTTCGATTCCTGACATGGGTACAATGTGTGAAGCCCATTTCTGGTGTCCCCCGCCGTGATATTGCTGAAATATTGCTAAAAGCGGCGTAATATCAAACTCACTCACTGTCCTATCTAGCAAGTCTGCTAGCTTATCTAGCATATCGCAGTCTGCGACTTTAGCCACTAATCCGAAGACCAACTCTTGTAAAACTCAGTTCGATCTGGTGAACTTAGCTAAGAAAAGTCTATATAACACTGAAATGTGGTAAATGAGTCAAGTTCCTGCAAGTAGGCTCAAAAGTGTTTAGCACAGACTGATATCGGCTATCATCTCTAGCATATCAATTTTTGTATCTAGCATATCGACTATCATATGTAGCATATTGACTATCACATCTAGCATATAAACTATCGCATCTAGCATATCGACTATCATATTAACTGTAGTATCTTTCATATCAACTATCATATCTAGCATATCGACTTATCATACCGAGGATATTTTGCCTATCATATCAATTATATCTAGCATCTCGACTGTTGTATCTAGAATATCGATTATCATATAAAGCAGCGATTATCATATCTAGCATAAGGTCTGTTGTATCTAGCATATCAACTGTCATATCTAGCATATTGACTGTTGTATCTATCATATCTAGCATTTTGACTATCATATCTAGCATATTGACTTATGTCTAACATCAACTTTCGTATCTGGTAGTGGTAGGATGATACACTGATGTCTTGGTGGATATTTTGCATCTCGATACGAAGTAAACAATATCAATACTTACTGTAAGTATTTGCTTCTATAACTGTTACACCAAACACTATTTCGTAGTGAAAGTCAGAAGTGAAAACATGGATAAATATAAATATTTTGATCCATTGCCCCATACTTGACACTGCCAACTGTAAATCGTCACTGTGCCAGGTAATTGGCTATCCTTTCTATGAAAAAGATGGCTAACACACCACAGATAAGAGCACCTGTAAGTATCGTGATACATATCAGATTGTGAGCAAGAAATTGTGATATGTATCAAATCGCACAGTAGGTTTATCGTCCCAGCCCTAGTATCTAGCATATTGACTATCGTATCACGAATATCAACTATAATATCTAGCATATTGTCTATTGTATCTTGCATATCGACTATCATATCTAACATATCGACAGTCATAGCAGCATATCGGCTATCATATCTAGCATCTTGACTGTTGTGTATATCATATCGACTGTCGTACCTAACATATTTAATATGTCCAGCATATCGACTATTGTATATAGCATATTGACTATCATATCGTCTATCATATCGACTGTCATAGCAGCATATCGTCTATCCTATCTAGCATATTGACTGTTGTGTATATCATATTGACTGTCGTACCTAACATATTTAATATGACCAGCATATCGACTATTGTATATAGTATATTGACTATCATATCTAGCATGTTGACTGTCATATCTAAAATATCGACTGTCGTATCTAGCAGGTAACTTACGTCTTCTGTGTAGTCACCAGGAGACTATATTCTCAAGCTGATCCAAGAAAAATTAGTTTTTTCTGTTGGGGACACAATTCTTTGGAGCATAAGAAGTTTTCTGTAGTGAAAATATGTTAGGATTTCATCAGCGATCTCTGGTTTGATCCATTTTGTCAATTGTACATCGGTTATGACTGGCTACTAATAATAGTAATTTCTTCAAGTTATATCACAGTGTCTCTTTTTATCAAAGAAAAATGTTTCCTGTTCAGTTTCATTATCAATAATTATATATTGATATGAACATCAAACATTTTCTGTGAATGGTGTATACCAATAACATTTTCCTCAACAATTGATTATCATAATTATGGGCACCTACTATCGATCATTGCACCATTACACAATATCTAGTCAGTCGCCAATTATGGGCATTCTTTGGGAACACTGGCTAATACAGTCATCAGATCTAACAGTCTACAGCAACCTCCTCTCTTGGTTTACTCTAACTTGTAAATGTGGTTTGGTCCACAATCTGGCCAATTATTCAAGTATCAGTGCGGATATGCAGTATGTGTGCTGTTTAGTAATTTTGAGCTTTTTAAAAAATATTTTATTGACCCTTTGGTGACCTGTAACAATAGCAGTAACTAAAATTCACTGATAATGTCTGGTTGGTCAAAAAGAAAATCTGAATTATCCCCTAAATTCTTGTCCCTCCGATGATATAATATCGTTTTATCTGAGATGGAACTTGTCACCCTTCAACATCCTACTAGCCTTTGCCATGTGCCAAAATACATAGCGATGAGGTATTAATAGGACTAGTAGAAATTAATTACTAAAATTAATTGACTTGTGACAAAAATCACTTACTTTCTACAAGTGAGTTTTGTGACTTGGATATTGATTGATAAGTAATGACAAGCTTGTCACATCATTCACACTCAGGGTAAGACATATGTCACACAGGTGTGTTAGTGCAGACTGTCCGGAAGGACTAAGGTATCCTCCCAAAATGTATATATTTTTTATTAACCACTGAGAATTGATGGTCTGTGACTTTCACAGTAGACGGAAGCCCTAGTCCAGGAAGTTTTCTGTCTGGGAGATTCAGCTTACTACCTGTGCCAGTCTGCGACTTCAACCACTAGTCTGAAGCCAGAGTCTAGTAAAATTCAGTGTGGTCTAGTTAACTTAAAAGTCCACATCATAACACAAAGAATTACCAAAAGGGATGCTAAGAGCCATGTTCCTGCTGGGTGAATCAAAAGTTTATGGCACAGACTGTTGGGTATATATTAACAGTAAACAGTAACAAAATAACGAGGACTGAAACAATACATAAGTGCACCGGTGCATCATGAGTTTTCATGTGATGATACGATACATGATACATTCTTTTCTGTATCGATACAAGACGATATACTTGCTAAAATATATTAGTTACTACCCATTTAATGACCCCCAGCATTTTTGTCAGTCAAATATTTCAAAATGTGTTGTAATATGCATTTCAAGTTAACAAAACAAAATGGCCGCTATGAACATGTCTAGCTTTTCTATTTGAACTTGCTCTGAAATTTTAAAAGTCAAGAAATCTCCATGCAATTTGTAAATATGTGTATCGCAATACATATAGAATCGTGGCCTATGTATCGTGATACGTATCGTATCGTGACCTTGCTGTATCGTTTCACCCAAGAAATAACGATAAAATCCACTGAAAATGATGCCAATAGGCAAGTTCAGACTAACTTTTGAAATTCAATACACTCCACAGTTATCATATTTGTTTACCTAGTGGTCCTTGGGAATAGCTTGGGACATCCCTGTCCTGTGTGCTTGAAACCCACCAGGGACACAAAACATGCAAAAGTAGGAACGTTTTCAAAAGGGGAAAAGGGTCATTGTTAACAAGTTTTCACAAACTTGTTGGCACATGGTCAACTCCTATTAATGATTTTGATTTTCATGATTCAATAATCATTTCAACTTGATGTTTGGTACCTGTGTGTGTTACCCTGCCATAACCATGTGTATAAGGAAGTGATGAACCAATCAATCAGCATCTTTTACGTGCCAGGTACACTTGTTAGCATATCTTTAAGTCTCACCAAAACTCTCACAGTGATGCCTTGTTCCTACACGTAGATGGAGCTTGCTTCACAGCAAACAAAGGCACATCACTTTCTTCATATTAATCGGTAAAATGGCTCATTTTGATGAATAATATGTTGAATTAGAGATGTCATTGTATGTTGTGATAATGCTATGTCAGTAAATTTTTAATGTTGATGTATAGATCACAAATATATGAATATCAATGCTTAATTAATTATTCACTCCCACAGTTTGTTTATGTTAAGATTACCATAGTTGGACAATGAGATGGTATTTTTCTCTATATACATACATAATAATGAACATCTTTATTATTCAGTATATAGAAAATGTCACCCAAGTGGACATATTGTTAAGTAATAAGTGACTAATGTTATGAACTAATGACTTCATCGCTATGCTGTGTTCCAAATTATGCACACAATTCATGAGATCTCGTCATTGGCCTATTGTTAAGATTTAAAGATCATGGTCACACGATTCAAATACTGTAAATACAATTAAATTCTGGAAAATATATCTGTTGTGTATAATACGCACAGACTTTTCTTTTGCATCTTTTCAGGCTGTCAGCATAAACCATGAAATTGACGATCTTTCAACTCCATCTTTTTTTCTCTCACTTATATTATGTTCTAATTTTGAGAGCGCCTGGGCGCTTATTACGTTGAATACGGTAACTGAAATACTGTTCAAAGTGGCATTACTCACTCACTCACTACCAGGGGCCTGTTCAACAAAGCATTCTTAGCACTAAGATGATCATAACTCCCATACTTGACTTAGACTTTGTGGAATGACAGCCAAGACTAGGGCTGTAATGATTCACCGATACCTACGATATCATCGATACTTACATGAACACGATACTTGAATCGTCAGTGTGCGAGATCACGATATGCTAAAAATAGAAGAGGAACTAATAGAGTTACTTCCAATAATGGCAGAAGTAGCATAGCACCACCTGTAAGCATGGCAGAACACGAGGACGTGGTGACTGAGGACACGTCGACTGACTGTTACATTTAAAAACCATCCCTTCATTAAAACTTTTTTCTTGTGGTTTTCATTGTTAAAGTGTTTGGGATAACAATAAATGTATGAATCAATTGGTTTTGGAGCTGTTTATCGGTGATTTCATTTCTTACTATTTGATGTGATGTTTTGTGTAGTAGTGGGACGATACACTGATATCTTACTTCTCGAAACAAGTATCGATCACACTCGCACACTAAGTAAAAGGTATTGATTCTTACCTTAATGTATTCTTTGATAAATGTTTCACCAAACACTAATTACACGTGAAAATTAGATGCGAAAACGTTCATATTTTCATCCATTGCACCATACTTGACAGTGCCAACTGTAAATCATCAGTGTGCCAGGTATTTGGCCATCCTGTCTATGAAAAAGATGGCTTATGCACCACTGATAAGAGCACATGCAAGTATTGTGATACGTATTGGATCATGAGCAAGGTATCGTGATACTATCAGATCGCACAGTTGGTGTACAGTCCCAGCCCTAGTATTGTGACACCTGTAGTATCATCAGTCCGAATAGTGATACAATTCATATCGCAAGATACCAAGTGATGCGCAGCCAGGACCCCAAAAGTTCATTTTCAGTCACTAGAACCAAAGGTCCAATATTCTGAAAGTCAGACTGCTGTTCCACCCTTGACATTTTTGTGTGTTTGTACTCTGTAGTGGCGTTTCTTGATGATGGTGGTCTGTGTTTGACTGTGTGTTTGTCTGTTTCAGCTCAAGCTCACCGTGAGTGGCGGTAGTGTGTTCATGGTACAAGCCACATCACCAGCAGCAACTATGTGACTGATGATTAACTGTAATTTTAATTTCAATTATGGTAAGTTTGCATTTGATACTGCTCAGGTGATGATCTCCTTATCGACAGGTGTCTGTGAAGCAAGGGGAATATGTTAAACTATCAGTTGGGATCTTGTTTTGCTTGGTTGTTGTTTACTCCAGCTACCGTATTCGACATAATAAGCACCCTGGGCGCTCTCAAAATTAGAAAAAGGGGGCTCTTATAAGAATATTATTTTGGTGAAAAAAAACAGAGATGAAAGATCGTAAAATTCGTGGTTTATGCTGACAGCCTGAAATGTTTATATACGACAGATATATTTTTCAAGAATTTTATTTCCCATAATTAAGGATGCATATAACACACGTATTATACGCGAATAAATAAGTCTTGTGTACATTGATCAATCGGAAGGGGTGCTAATTGGGATTGTTCACAAGCCAATATATTCGCAAATATCGCCGTGGGCGCTTATTTGAGCGGGGCGCTTATTACATCAAATACGGTATGACACGTCTGCCTGTAAATTTACTGAACAACAAAAGTTCCAGTGACATTGAATAAGATTTAATGCAAAGTTATGTCTTTTACCAAATCTGAAACAATTTCGGTTTGCAGCAGATTAAAGACTCCTGTAAGTGTTCAAATGGTTTGATTTGCCATACTGACTTCAGAAATTGCATGATTTCATTAAAAAACATAAACATGCCAAAATGTCAATTTTCAAATCCACCTCCACATACTCGTCTCATTGAATGGACCAGGCATCGCACAAAGACCTGTGGGATATCTGTCCATATCTGCTGGAGCATGTTTCGAAGTTCCTGGGGTGTCTGTGGAACACGTGGTTGACATCGAAGGCGCCGATCCATCTCATCCCACATGTGCTCGATTGGTGAGAGATCAGTTGGGCGAGCCGGGTCCTCTGTCTTGCTGTAATCCCACCCCATACCATAACCCTGCCGAACCGATCTTCCATGACACAATGATTGACGTACCGTTCACCTCGACGTTGGTACACTCGAATCCATCCATCGCTGTGGCTGAGGTGAAAACGAGACTCGTCAGTGTATAGATATCTGGCCATATCTGCTGGAGCATGTTTCGAAGTTCCTGGAGTGTTTGTGGAACACGTGGTTGACGTCGAAGGCGCCGATCCATCTCATCTCACATGTGCTCTATTGGTGAGAGATCAGGGGAGCGAGCCGGCCAGGGGATGACATTCACGTTGTTTTGTTGAAGAGAATACTGAACAACTCAAGCAATATGAGGCCGGGCGTTGTCATGTTGAAAGGTAATGCCTGGGCCATGACGACGCAAACACAGTAGAACAACAGGGCCCATGATCTCGTTGCGGTAGCGCTGTCCATTGAGATTTCCCTCTACCACTATCAAACGGATCCTCTGTCTTGCTGTAATTCCACCCCATACCATAACACTGCCACTCCCGAACTGATCTTCTTCCATGACACAATGATTGACGTAACATTCACCTCGACACTGTCTGCACCACTGTAGATGTGCTTGACGGTGGTTTCCTGTCAAAATGGGACATCTGGCGGGTCTTCTGGCGACAACCCCTGCACATCGGTGATGTACCGTTTGTGAAGATATTCGTCGAAGGCCAGGGATGTCTTGCAGTCACTGTTGCTGGCTGGAATCGATTTCGTAGGTGTGTTGTTCGAATCCAGTTGTCTTGTCGATTATTGGTTATGTGTGGCCTGCCAATCCGAGGATGGTCTCTGACTGCATTCGTCTGTTGCCAACGTTGCCATAAACACCAAATAGTGTTTCTGTGGACGTGAAATTGTCTTGCAACATCACGTTGACTCGATCCTGCTTCAAGCATACCAATGGCTCGCAGACACTCACTTTCGGACAGGCGTTGCATTTCGTAATGTTGAATAATTGCGTAATTTTGTTGTTTTACTGAGTGGTTGTCAGCACGATGCTAAACAATGCATATGGAATCCCGTTAACGCACATGTTTTTATACCCATTCTTGGGTAGTGAAATGCATGGGGCTTACATAAAAGTCAACTTTTGATCCAATGCATGCGTTTCTGTAGCAGTTGCGTTTTTGTGACTTGATTCCATACATGTACTACAATATTGAAAACCAAACTTTACTTGTTTGAAAAATACACTAAAATATTGGTGTTATGGGAACTTTTGTTGTTGAGTATATTCAAACCTGTTAACAAGGGATAAGATGTCTCTGTGTGTGAAGGTCTGACAGCGCCTCCACATTGGTATGTTTCTTTCAAATCATCCAAACAGTGTTGAGGCTTCTAAATTCTTGGTACAAGTGAGTGATGCATATTGATCACCATCATATTTTTCTGTAATCAAAAAACAAAGTTTAACGCACAGTTCCGAACGTAAATAATTAAGGTCAGGCCATTATTATGGTGTAAATATTTTAAATGCCCTGTCATGTCTGAGTGCCATGGCAACAACACCCAAATGGGAGTACCATTGAAGGAATATTTGTTTTCTGTAATGGCTTTCTTTTGATAACATTGATATTTCTGAGTAGAAATGAAGCGGGAATTCTTTTTATTAAGATGATACACCCACGAACACACATCTTTCATTCAGATTGGGTGTTCTACAATATTCATGATGTTAGGGCTTGGTTGGCTTGTAAGATCTTCATGCAGAGAGGTATCTTATCAGTGTAAAATACCTGGTGAAATGGCAAACCAGTGGCTGAAAGCATGAGCAGCGATCAATGCCGTTGGGATACAGTGATAGACAATTGAGTCTGACCACAAGATGATCTTTAGTTGCCCTTACGAAATGTCATACTTGAGAACAGTTCTACCCTGAAAAGCCCCCGGGGTAGTTACGATCTACAACACAGGATCTGAGAACATGACTCCGCTGCTCATTTTGTTAAGCACTGGTCCAGGGTTAGAAATTAATTTTGATTTCACAAGTCACAAAAATGCTCTGCTACAGAGTTGCCATCTTGTACAATTGGAAGTCCACAAGGAAATGTCACTAGTCGCTCTGAATTCTGCAGGCAGACATGTTAGTTCAAAATATTGCAGTGGAATCTTCACCGGGCACCATGATAGAGCTTTAATCCTGCAGCGTAGACGACAACTTTGTCTGTGTAGCCTGGTTCTTCAAGTGTTGCATTTGGTCATGAAGACCTGCTTTCAGTCCCCGACTTATATCCCCATCTTCCCGAGGCAAGGGAGTTAACGCTGCTGATGTATCTCATGCTTGTCAAAAGAGTTGACCAAAATATTGATTTGATGGTTATGATGTTGGTCATGCTAAGCAGCTACTATATATCAGGCAGTCACACTAGCTTCTGAGGCTCACCTTCAATTATTTAATGCAGGCCTGATATATCACTTCATCAATCTGAAACTGCAAACCTTGCATGAAACTCGGTGCACTCAGCTGCAGACTACCAAAGAAATTTGGCATGTCAACTGAGATGGATTGTTCTCTCCTTGGTTATTTCCATAGGTAACAAAAGCATACGTCTTCGTTGGCGTGATGTCCAATCTTTCTAACACTGCAAAAGAGTAGCTTAATCATGAAGATCTCCTCCATTTTATATGAAGATAGTAAAATTTGTGTACAAAGTCCTCAGATAAAATAGCATTTTACAATCTCCGTCGACAATGTCATCAATTATTGTGGACATATTGTATATTTTTTATCCATATGGTAATTTGTGAGTTCTCCTTTTGAATCATGTGAACATGTTTGAATATATGTATTTCTTGGTGAATTTTTTTGAAATTTTGATGAATATTACAAATTATCATGGAATTCACGAGTTAAAGCTAGCGAAACTGTATACATAGCAAGACTGGTTACTGATGAACAGTCAACAAATTCAAGCTGATGTATGTACCATGTCTGCATGTTGCTAGGAAACCAGTCAGTCAACATAGAGGTCCTGGTGTCTTACATGTGGACATGTCATCAGTGAGGTTTAATGGTAGTGGTGAGGGGTATTACTGATATATCAGTAAATTGAGGGTAAATCTTTCCATGATATGTATCACAATATCATTTTTTAATTTTCGGTATATAACATGATTTCCAGTGGGGATGTTTATCATGTGTTTCATGTTATACTTGCCAAATTCCCGGAGTGTTCATGTATTGATTGTTTTTATACACAGTCTGGAAGTTTGTTTCTCAATCCTTGATAAAATCTTAGAAAGAATATAGGCTCATCAATATGATTTGCATCTGATTGATAACACTTCTATATGTGTTGGGTTGATAAACAAAGAGCGAATATTGATCAAGGAACATCTTCCTGAAGCAAGGGAGTTAACTGGCTATAAAAGTCCAGTATCCTCCCTTGACAAACTAGACTTGACTGAAGGAGGTATATTTCCGCTGAACTGACGAATCTATGCATAGTCTAATCAAGTTTTATCATAATATAGATTTTGATTATCGATTGTTGACTGGGCGCCACCATTTTATACGAAGCAAATACAAGTGATATGAGAGGTGGAATCTGATTGGTCAATAGGAGGGACCTAACTCGTAATAGCCACTGGTGCTGCTACAATCGAGCCCAGAAATTCCAGCCTAGTTTGGCAAGAGTGGAAACAGTCAGTTAACTCCCTTGCTTCAGGAAGATGTCAAGGAATGACTTGACAAGTCAGAAAGAATACATATGCAGCAAGTAAAAGTGATTGATCTTGTTCCGCTATGTTAGTATTCAGCTTGTTGCGGTCAGTGGATGTTTGGCTGGGTAAAGGTTGAGTGACAAGTCAGGGATTTATCTAGGCGTTCTCAGTGGCCAATATTCATCCCCAGGTCAAACGTTTACATCTGCAACTAGAGGTTTTTCATTAGTCATTTCTACTAGTTCTTATGATATCTTAACTATTCTGCAATTTGGCAAGGGCTGTAGGACTAGTGCCAATTTCTATTGCTGGGCCACTTGCTGACACTGTGTTCATGTTCAGTTGGTTCCAGACAAAATTAATTATGATTTTTGGGGCACAGTGAAAAAAGCCTCACAGTGAAAAAAGCCTCCCCCTGTAAACTAACTCTTCCTTTGTTTCTCCTTTCCTATCTAACCCCACTCCCACCCCCAATAGGCATGCAGCTTCATCACACTAGAGAGGGTACAGTGCATTGATATCCAACAGTGTAACCCTATTAATGAAGACAAGTATCCCTTGAAGATTTGTGTTAGAATTGGTCTTCAGAGAGGCAATTAACTGGATCAGGTGGTCAGGCTTCGCTGACTTGGCTGATACATATCATCTCACCTAGTCGTGTAGATTGATGCTCATGATTTCAATTATTGGATTATCTGGTCTCGATTATTTACAGACAATGGTCCTATAGATGGAATTAGCTTGAGTGCAGCGTAAACAAACAAATACATTTCATTTTACTGGGTGTGCTGCCTCAAACATGCTGTTAATGAAGGTCCTTTTTGAATATTGTGATTAATGTCTGTCTCCCATTGTTGCAGATGGACTCTATTGGTGAAGGGTGATTGTGCTGAATGTGAAGGTCATCTGCTGGTCATGAGAGAGAGAGAAGTCCAGGATAATGAGGACTAAAATTGATAAGGACGTGAAGAAAAAGGACATCGTTGAGCGGGACAGGGAGGATGTGGAGAAGGTTGTCCCCCCTAAAACGGTCAAGAAAGTAAAGAAGTCGAAGAAGGTCGAGACCGCAGGGGATGGTCAGAACTGTCACCCTACTACTGCTCCTCCTGATGTCCCAACGCCCGTTGTGGATGGAGCTGCAGTAGAGGTCGCCAACGAGGGTCCTGATGAGATAGCAGCAGCTGTGAATTCTATAACAGAATGTTTGGATTTCAATAATGCTGTGCCGGAGGTGTGTGAAGATGTACCTACAATAGAAAACCATGTGGAAAGTGACAACTGTAACCCTGAACCTATTGTTTCAACCTCAAATCCAATTCCTGAACAGTCTGAACTGAAGGATGCGGAGGAACAGGAGTGCCCAGCAAAGAAACCTGTGACTCCTGAAACCCAGACAAAGGTACCAGCAGCAAGTGTGTGTTCATATGAAAGCATCATTGATGAGGTTGCTCGGGGTGATATCATTGTTAAAACACCTCCAAGGAAACCGCCTAAGAAAAGACGTAACGATGATGTTAAAATGAAGGAAAAACTTAATTTTGATGATAGTGAGAAAGTGAAAAAGAATGTGGAAAAGAAAACTTCAGAAAATGGACATGTGAAAAGTGAGAGTGTGTCTGAGACATCTGGTGCGCAGTTGAAGGATGGCGGTCCTTCAGCAGGGGCTCAGACTGATTCAAAACCCTGTGAGGCAGGGGCCAAGTCGCGGTCGAAGCGGACGCCGAAGAAGAGGAAGTTTCATGATGAACAGGAAGATGAGAAAACACTGCCAGTTTCAAAACCCAAAGTTACAAAGAAGCCACAAGGTTCAAAGTCAAAGGGAAACTCTGCAACAGAGAAGCCATCTGATACTCCAGCAGAAAAGACAGATAGTCCTAAGCCCAAGAAGTCTCCAAAAAGTAAAGGTGTGAAGGGTAAAGCCAAGGAGTCTAAAGAGACTAAAGATGCACAAAGCAAAACAGACATTAAAGAGCCTGTTAAGAAGGCAAAGGAGAAAAAAGCAGCAAAGAAAACCAAGAAGGATGCTACCAGCAAGACAACAGAGCAGGCTGTGTCAAAGGCTGCCTGCGAGCAGATGGCAAGTCCTGAAAACCATGAGAATGCTCAGTGTTCTAGCGACAGCGGTATTGGTGGAACTGACTCTGAGATGAAGGTTGAGAGTGCAGTCAAACCAGCAGCATCTGGTGCTGCCATGGATGCACTTCAAACAACTGTTCAAACTGTCACATCCGATGTGCCGGAGAAAATGGAAATTTCCGAATTGACATTAAAATCAGAATCGGCAGAAGCTGAGGGCAAAAGTGCAGCAAAACCAGAAGCTAAAAAGAAAGCTAAAAGTTCCAAACCCAAAAAGCCGAAAGAGAAAGGAAAAGAGAAAGTGAATGGTTTGACAAAGTCAGACACCATAGATGAAAAGGAAATGTCAGACAAAACCAAACCGCTGAAAAAGGCAAAAGCGAAGAAGAGGAAATCGGGGGAAGGTGAGAATGCAGAGAAGTCAGAGAAGAATGTTACAGATGGTGAGCCATCTGCTTCTAAGGAGCAGACGGCCGAACCTTCACCTCAAAAGAAAAAGAAGAAAAACGTTGCAAATGGTGATGGTGAAGTGAAAAAAGTTGTGAAAAAGAAGAAAAAAGTTGTGAAGAAGCCATTAGCAGATGGCGAGGGTAAAGAAAATGTAGAGAACAATGGCGTTGGTGCTTCGTCTGAACTTGTGGCGAGTGTACCTGAGAATGGTACAATAGGTGTTGGTGTGAAAAGTGATATGGGGGATGATGATATGGATGATGATGGTGAGGACCTAGGAGGAGAGAACGATAAAGACGGCGAAGTCAAAGATGACAGTGTTGCAGCAGAGGGCGACAGTCCGGCCAGTACAAGTGAAAGCAAATTAGTAAATTCAAAGCTTTACAAAGAAAAGAAGATTTTAGAGACTCGAGAGTGTTCTATGTGTGGTCACAAGACTCGGGGGTTGGCAGCATTAACCAGACATATGAAACGTGCTCATCAAATCATAAGAAAACCACCCAAGTTTAAGTGTGATAGATGTGATTTTGATGCTGCCAAACGGGTTGTGTTTGCGAAACACATGCTGCTTCATGATGTCATAATGTGTTTTAAATGTCCATTTGTCTGTACGACACAGGAAGCGCTGGAAGAACATGTCACAGAGGAGCATAAAAACAAAGGAGACCTTAAGTTGTGCCGCCTGTGTTCGCGATATATTCGATGCCCTGAGGGCGAGGACACTCTGGAGAAACACATGGAGGAGTGCAAGGGTAAAGTGCCGCTTGTTTGTAAGGAGTGCAACAAAGAGTTTAAGTATGAATCAGGACTAAAGGTTCACATAAGTACACATTTCCCCGATCAACCCAAACTTTATACGTGTGAACTGTGTAGCTATCAGTCCAATTACAAGGCGAACTTACACAAACATATCCAGAACATTCACCAGGAGCGGCAGAAGACAATCAAATGTCGGGAATGTGATAAGATGTTTTACAAAGAGGAGCACATGAGACGCCACTTGCGTCTTCACGCTGAAAGTAGGCCGTTCCAGTGTGAGAAATGTGAGAAAGCGTTCAAGACGGTGAACGCAATGAGGTGTCACATGGAGAGCCACAACACAGGACGGCCATTTAAGTGTGACATCGATGGCTGCAGTAAGACTTTCCGTACAGCCAAATTCCTAAAAAACCACGCTGAGGAGTTGCACCAGCTGGGGGAGAAAAAGTATCACTGCTCGGCCGAGGGATGCAGCTTCTCATTCTTCAAGAAAAGTCATCTGAAGCGTCATGAAATCACACATACAGGTTAGTCATCCAGGGAGAAATGGGGTAAAATGACAACTGTTGCATCTTGTTCCTCCTTGGATAAACAGCCAACTATTCACCTTAAATTTTCCCAGTGGTCAAATGCAATCTGGTTACATCTAGGTTTTTACGTGGTAAAACGCACACTGTTTTGGAGAAGGCGACCAACTGTAATTAAACTCAAACGTATTTGAGATTTATGTGATATTTCTCTTCTGATAAGAAATACAATCAATAGTTTGGACAGTTAATGTCAGATCTTTTTTTATTCAATCACTAGGTTTCGATTTAATCAAGGAAATCTCCACATGCTCGGTACTGTATGCACTGCTGGTACAGTGGTCTCTGTTCTATGTCTAGGAGCCTCATAACTTAGTACCAAGAGTCCTCAGAACTGAATATTCAGACCAAGATAAGGCCCTGGAAGGTTGGTAGGGATGTAAGAGAAAATCCTCCTGATAGTTAAATGATAACAAACAGACATGCGTTTTTAGAGTAATGTCACTCTTAACTTGGTGAAAAAATACTGTAGAATCTTGTTTCTATTTAGGTAGAAAACTACATTAGTTTTAAAGTATGCAAGGCCTCACTGGTCTATACATGTCAAGGTCGACAAGGTTTAGGTAATGCATTTTGGACACACTGCTATTCTGATATATCCTACGTGGTCTAGTGGTACAGTGTTTGCTCGGATAGCGGACGGTCAGAGGTTTGATCCCCGGCTGCGTCGTACCAAAAGACGTTAAATGATAGTACATGTTGTTACCCATGCCTGAGAGTTGGCATTAAGGGACCAAAATAAGGACTGGTTGGTTTGAAGTCAGTATAATGTGTGTGAGTGGGGTATTCATGTTAAACTGCAGCATGGTATCTCAGTGGGCTAGCACTATAAATCGGCATTAGTCTGGACTAGTACAAACAGCCACACACACACACATGCATGCACATGCATGCACATCGCTGTTATCATGGTTATGAGTGCAACACATGAAACTTCATTTCACCTCACCTCACCTCATATATCCTGATATGGTGCTGGTAATGCATACAAACATACCACTATCCTCATGTGCCAGGGAGGCTACTATATCAGAGAGTGATAATATATTAAATATGAACAAACTGACTCGGACTAGTGTGTTTGTGTCAGTTTTCATCCTTGGTCAACGTAGTGAGTTATTTCCCAGTCAGTGAGAGGGAGGGATAGTTACCAGGGATAGTTACCAGGGAATGTTACAAGGGAAAGTTACCAGGGATAGTTACCAGAGATAGTTTCCAGAGATAGTTGCCAGGGATAGTTACCAGGGATAGTTACCAGGGAAAGTTATCAGGGATAGTTACCAGGGATAGTTACCAGGGAAAGTTACCAGGGAAAGTTATCAGGGATAGTTACCAGGGATAGTTTCACACTTTGGATCGGTTGCCTAGTAATCGTCCAGTTCTAAATGTTTATGATTATATTGTGTATTTTCCTGAAATTTGTTTACTGTGCTTCATTGATTATTTCAAATTAAGCAAAATGTTATTAGTCATGTAAAATAAATTCCTGTTGTGAAGCCTGTTCTATTTAATCATTCAAGGATTTTATGAATGACTGAACATCCAACATGAATAATCCATATCAAATAACATTCTAAACAAAAATGGATTAGGTGCATTTACAATTGATCACTGGATCATTATATTAGGTAACTGATCTGGCATCAAGCAGTCACTGGAACCGGAGTCATCTGGTATAGGCTGGGACACAGAACATATTGTTTGTCATGTTGGTTGTTTTACATTCATGTGGACATGGTGACCTTGGATGACAAGTCCCTCGCCTTGATCATTGTCCCCTGACAGCCCGAAAAAGGTCCCCAAGTCAGAAGGATTCAAGTCAATTTGATTCCCTTGATGATAGTGTTTGTGTTGACTGTGGCAGCTGTGCCTGTGGTTACCAGGGTGACAGTGTTGACTGTAGCTGTTGTACCTGTCGTTACCAGGATGACAATGTTGACTGTGGCTATTGTACCTGTGGTTACCAGGGTGACAGTGTTGACTGTAGCTGTTAAACCTGTGGTTACCAGGATGACAGTATTGACAGTAGCGGTTGTACCTGTGGTTACCAGGGTGACAGTGTTGACTGAGGCTATTGTACCTGTGGTAACCAGGTTGACAGTGTTGACTAGTTGTTGTGCCTGTCGTTACCAGGGTGACAATGTTGACTAGCTGTTGTACCTGTAATTACCAGGGTAACAGTGTTGGCTGTGGCTGTTGTACCTGTGTTTACCAGGGTGACAGTGTTGACTGTGGCTGTTGTGCCTGTGGTTACCAGGGTGACAGTGTTGACTGGCTGTTGTACCTGTACACTGTCTACATGAGTCTGGGTTTGATGCCCCTGTAGTGGTGTGCAGGTACCTTGACTGTCTACATGAGCCTGGGTTTGATGCCCTTGTAGTGGTGTGCAGGTACCTTCACTGTCTACATGAGTCTGGGTTTGATGCCCTTGTAGTGGTGTGCAGGTACCTTCACCATCTACATTAGTCTGGGTTTGATGCCCTTGTAGTGGTGTGCAGGTACCTTCACTGTCTACATGAGTCTGGGTTTGATGCCCCTGTAGTGGTGTGCAGGTACCTTCACCATCTACATTAGTCTGGGTTTGATGCCCTTGAAGTGGTGTGCAGGTACCTTCACTGTCTACATGAGTCTGGGTTTGATGCCCCTGTAGTGGTGTGCAGGTACCTTGACCATCTACATGAGTCTGGGTTTGATGCCCTTGTAGTGGTGTGCAGGTACCTTCACTGTCTACATGAGTCTGGGTTTGATGCCCCTGTAGTGGTGTGCAGGTACCTTCACCATCTACATTAGTCTGGGTTTGATGCCCTTGAAGTGGTGTGCAGGTACCTTGACTGTCTACATGAGTCTGGGTTTGATGCCCCTGTAGTGGTGTGCAGGTACCTTGACTGTCTACATGAGTCTGGGTTTGATGCCCCTGTAGGGTCGTGCAGGTACCTTCACTGTCTACATGAGTCTGGGTTTAATGCCCCTGTATTGGTGTGCAGGTACCTTCACAATCTACATGATTCTGGGTTTGATGCCCCTTTTGTGATGTGCAGGTACCTTCACTGTCTACACGAGTCTGGGTTTGATGCCCCTGTAGTGGTGTGCCGGTACCTTCACTGTCCACATGAGCCTGGGTTTGATGCCCCTGTAGTGGTGTGCCGGTACCTGCACTGTCAACATGATTCTGGGTTTGATGCCCCTGTATTGGTGTGCAGGTACCTTCACTGTCTACATGAGTCTGGGTTTGATGCCCCTGTATTGGTGTGCAGGTACCTTCACTGTCTACACGAGTCTGGGTTTGATGCCCCTGTATTGGTGTGCAGGTACCTTCACTATCTGCATGAGTCTGGGTTTGATGCCCATATTGTGAACCATGATAATGACTTGTGCGGGAACATTTTGCTGAACAAATATGTCTGAATTCTGAATCTGTGAAGTACACTTGTAGTGTCGTTGGCTGAGTTTGAGGTTGCTATGAGCTGTCAACAAGTCTACTCACTCATCATGGTGTACTATTGTATGACAGCCGATGTGCTTTACTTTACTTTCAAAAGATATCTCTCACTCATCTCTGTACATTACCCGAATAAGTCAATATATATGTGGATGTTTTGCAGTCTGTGACTTAATCCACTAATCCCATGCACCTGTTTTGTAAAATTTCTTTTTGGTCTCGTAAGATCAGCTTTTACTTGTCCATACAGCACTAAGACCAACATCTTCTGAAAATAGTGCCAAAATACAAGTTCGGCCTTGTAGAATCAAAAGTGTTTGACACTGACTGGGTTTGCTGTAGTATCAACTGGCATAACCCTTATTGTGCAAGCAGTGGACCGCGGGGTCTGGCAGCACGGTTTCTTCGCGCCTGGGGCGTTGAAGATCTCACGGGCCATCACGTCAGCAATATTGATTACCTCAGGATCCTCACACCTGGTTTGTGACAGGTCTCACTTGACTGCACTCCACTCCACCTGGTATTGGGCCTGGGATTTGCTGATGGGAATAAGCCAATCAGATTGATGCTGTTTTTTACATGAATGACATTGTCTCCACCAAACTTTTATTGATTTCCTTCCACAGCATGATGAGAAGAATTTGTTTTTAAACTGTAATCAATTGAGTTTCGAATTAGCTCCATTCACAGTCATTTCAACAAACCTGCCCAGGTAATAAGTTAAATCAGTATTTGTGTAGCTAATGCAACAATTGCATGCCAGTGCTGTAATGAGAAAAACTCATTTAGTAAGACGGAATGGAACCAGTGGAAATTGTTTGATTAACAGTATATCTGAAGCATGGGAGCAATTACAGCCAGACCTCACCTGCAGCCACTGAACCCATGGATCAATACAGGCATGATTCATGGTGCCAGTAATGATGTGTTTGTTGTGGAAGATATCAGTCACAGCTTGTGGTTGATGGCAGGTGAGGGGGGGCTTGCTGACTTCATTAGGATGCAGATTTGTCCATGGAGATAGCGAATTCTCAAGTGGATCTGAAGTGGAATTGGATTTTTTGGGGGGTATATCAATGTCGTGGTCTTGTCGTTTGAATTGGAGTCAAAAGGAAGGTGATGTGGCCATTGATTATGGAGGATGGTTATCATGTAGGGATTATATAAAGGTGGATTGTGATGTATGGATTGTGAAATGGAAGCTGGTTTTATTATGTAGGGATTGACATGATTGTTATGTAGTAATTATTGAACAGAAGGTTGTTATTTTGGGGTTAAATAATGGAAGATTCTTATGTGGTAATTATTAAACAGAAGATTGTTATGTTGGGGTTATATAATGGAAGATTGTTATGTATGGATTGTGAAATGGAAGATGGTTTTATCATGTAGGGATTGACATATGATTGTTATGTAGTAATTATTAAACGGAAGGTTGTTATGTTGGGGTTATATAATGGAAGATTGTTATGTAGTAATTATTAAACAGAAGATTGTTATG